GCAGCCCTACTCCGGTAGCCCCGCCAATTTCGCTGCCTACACGGCGGTGCTCAACCCGCATGATCGGATCATGGGGTTGGATTTGCCTTCCGGTGGGCATTTGACTCATGGATACTATACCTCTGGGGGGAAGAAGATCTCCGCTACCTCGATTTACTTCGAGAGTTTGCCCTATAAGGTGAACGCCACCACAGGGTATATTGATTACGATAAATTGGAGGAGAAAGCCATGGATTTCAGACCCAAGATGATCATTTGTGGCGGCAGTGCCTACCCGAGGGACTGGGACTACAAGAGGTTGAGAGAGGTTGCTGATAAATGTGGGGCGCTTTTGCTCTGTGATATGGCTCACATTAGTGGCCTCGTCGCTGCTCAGGTATAATACCCTTAAATTCTTCACTCTTTGTTCTTTAATCCCACATGCAAGCTCAAATTTGACATTATTTTGATCTTCATCTTAACTTTTAATTCCTATATACTACTATAATACTATGGTTAGATTCTGCATGTGATCTGACAAAAGTAATAGGCACTGCATTTTGTATACTATTCTGGAATTTGATTGGTTGGATAGATCTGACATAGGACATGGGAATTGAATATTAGTTTGTATGTTCTTCTTGGAGATAGATCTGGGTGGGCGTGCATACATAAAATAAATAGGTTGCTTTATTTTATTGTGGTAGCCATTATGGTGCAATCTTCTCCCAAAAGGTTAAATCACCAACTCTAAGGGTTCTCCACACCGTAGCCTCGAGGGAGTATTTGGGAGGATGTAAATCAGGGTGACTTAATAACTCCGTAAACATGACTAAATGTCAGTGCTCACACAAGATCTGTCCACTTTAGACATAATCTCCGCACTGCCGGCCAAGGTTCGATCCTTGGTCTTTTCTCACAAATCCTGCCTACTGAAAGCTAAGCCCATGAGGGCTATTATGGTGCAATCTTGTTATTATTAAAATCCATAGTCGTAGTTCAACATAATATTCCTTTTATATGCCAAGATATTTCATGGCTAAATCAAGTTTCTTTTGGCTTGACATGGGGAAAGAACAGGTATAAGAAGGAAAAGTGCTTAAAACCAGGGTCATTTGTCAGGTTGTTGACTTGGTAACCACAATGTTCCAAGTTCGATTCTTAGTAAGAGCAGTCTATTGGTTATGGGCAACCTAGGCTGGAAGCTAGGGTAACAGGACTGGGTTTTCTAGTGCACACCCTTTGATAGTGACTGGAGTTCTCTTGTTTTCAAAAAAAAAAGTGCTTAAAACCAATATTATCTTGGCACCCCTTTACCTTTTAGTGAAATGTTTATATGAATGCATGGTGTTTACATTGCTTGATGTATATGTCTATAATAGATATCCATACTGTGTTGTGTTTAATTGAAACACACAATTCCTATTTCTCAATGTAGGAAGCAGCTGATCCTTTTGAGTACTGTGACCTGGTCACTACCACCACTCACAAGAGTTTGAGGGGTCCAAGATCAGGTATGATATTCTACCGGAAGGGCCCCAAGCCACCAAAGAAGGGCCAACCAGAGGATGCAACTTATGACTTTGAAGACAAGATCAATTTTGCAGTTTTCCCTTCTCTCCAGGGTGGTCCCCACAATCACCAGATTGGCGCCTTAGCAGTTGCCCTTAAACAGGCAATGACCCCTGGCTTTAAAGCGTATGCTAAGCAAGTCAGAGCTAATGCAGTTGCTGTTGCAAAGTACTTGATGAGCAAAGGGTACAATATTGTCACTGGTGGGACTGAGAACCACCTAGTTCTATGGGACCTTCGCCCTCTTGGTTTGACAGGTAATTTGATTATACTACAAGTCTTCCCAATTCAATATGAATCTGAATGTAAGTCACCATTAATGCAATGAATACTATACGGTTTATCTTTGCAGGTAACAAAGTCGAAAAACTTTGTGACCTATGCAACATCACTGTGAACAAGAATGCAGTGTTTGGTGACAGTAGTGCTTTGTCCCCTGGAGGGGTTCGAATTGGTAAGAACTAAAATATGTTTTGTCTAGACCATTCAATTGTAATGCACATTGCAATTATGCTTCATTACTGTATGCTACTGATAATTGGTCGATACTCGCATCCCCATCCACTAGTATTATTAGGATCCAGGAGCTCTGTTGTGGACTTATCATTATTTTGTGTATTAGTAAAATTTACTAGTCCCAAAATCACATTTTTATCTGGCCCGATATTCTTGATATTAACGGGCTAATGTGTGTTGGTAGGTACTCCTGCAATGACATCAAGGGGTTTGGTTGAGAAGGACTTTGAGCAGATTTCAGAGTTCCTTCACAGAGCAGTGACTATCACCTTGAGCATCCAGAAGGAGCATGGCAAACTGTTGAAGGACTTCAACAAAGGTCTTGTTAACAACAAGGAAATTGAACAACTCAAGGCTGATGTTGAGAAGTTTTCTTCCTCTTTTGAAATGCCAGGCTTCAAAATGTCTGAAATGAAGTACAAAAACTAGTTAGGACTTAGGAAGTAGGAACTCTCTTCATCATTTTTCTATCTACTTCTAGTCTTTTACTACAGCTCAACAAAATAAAGTGACTCTAGTTAATTCTAGTTAATTCAATGATGTTTAACCATTTGGTGTATAAATTAGTGATTCCAATTTTTTAAAGTTTTACTAAAGATTTATATAAGGCTCAGTTGAATTTCCTTTATCATTTTTTCTTTCTATGTTTTCATGAATGTCCAGATTTTTACCCTAACATTGTTTGTTTATAATATTTTTTTCTTAGGATTATGCACAATTAATTAATTGTAATACCTAACAACAAAAGTGACTAGAATTAACACACTTAGATATCCCAATTCTCCAAAGTCATCATTAAACTTAATAATTACTCCGTATTACTTTATTATTATTTTGGACCATGTTAGAGACTTAGAGAGCAAAGTTCCTACAAGGCCCTACAATTTAATTCAAGAGTTTTTGACTGAAATGGGCATTGGGAAGTGATTGTGGACAATAATGGGAGGTCAAATTTTTTTGGACAAGAATGGAAAAAAACGCGGATGTGGTCAAAACCGCATTTCCCAAACGCGTGTGACGACGGGCTTGCATACTCTACGGACAGCCGCATTTCTCAAATGCGGTTGTCGTATAGACATAGCCACGTTTGAGAAATGCGGCTCTCGTATATTATACGGTAGTCGCATTTCCCAAATGCGGCTATGGTATTTGTCGAAAACAATCCGCCATGGCTAAAGGAGGGAAGCTCATGAAGATCAAGTCAGCCGTCCTCAAGAAAATGCAGTCTTTCAAGCTCAGCCGCGGTACAGGTGGCGGAAGCTCCGTCGTCGTCGCCACCACCAACTCCTCCAACGACGAGCACTGCTCCGGCCCTTACAGCGCCGCCGCCTCTTCTAAGGACCTCCACCCGGTGTACGTGGGCAAGTCTCGCCGCCGGTACCTGGTCGGCTCCGACATTATCGACCACCCCCTGTTCCGCGAACTGGCGGAGCGGTCCGGCAGCTACTCCGACGAGTCCATCGCCGTCGGATGCGAAGTGGTGCTGTTCGAACACTTGCTGTGGATGCTCGAGAATGCCGATCCCCAGCCGGAATCCCTGGACGAGCTTGTCGAGTGTAACAGTGCAAGTGTTAGCACACACTATTCTTCTGCCTTCTCTTTGTTTTTTATCCCTTTAAATTTGGTCCCAGCAGTTTTTCACATCAAACAACACTATAATAAGTGCATATTTCTTTTTCTTTCATTTATATAACCAAACAAAATATATAGTAGATAAAACTTTATAAAGTACAAATTACCCTACTGCCCGTACTACTACAAACAACCGTGCAAACACATAATATGACCGATCTAACTATATCATTCGTGCATGAAGATTGTACCATAATACTAATTAATGAAAACACGAACTCAAGTGATCGACTTGATTTTTAAAGAAGAGCTTATTTTTTGTTTTCATGCTACATAGCTGTTAGGTTAAAAGAAGCCATCAACTTTTAAAATGGGGTCGACCCGGGACTTCACTGTACTATTGCATTGGTATTAATTAGTTCTGCAGATCAGATAAATGTTGGTTGCGAGGTGGGGATGGAGAATGGAGAGGAGATGACAGCAATGGTGGGTACGGTGCTTGTAGAGAATGGAGGGATGAAGGTGCATGGTGGATCAGGCGACACGACCATGTGTGGCGACGACGACGGAGCTTTCACCGCCTGTACCGCGGCTGAGCTTGAAAGACTGCATTTTCTTGAGGACGGCTGACTTGATCTTCGTGAGCTTCCCTCCTTTAGCCATGGCAGATTGTTTTCGACAAATACCATAGCCGCATTTGGGAAATGCAATTGTGGTATAATATACGAGAGCCGCATTTCTCAAACGCGGCTATGTCTATATGACAACCGCATTTGAGAAATGCGGCGGTAGTATATTATACGACAATCGCATTTCCCAAATGCAGTTGTCCGTAGAGTATGCAAGCCCGTCACACGCGTTTGAGAAATGCGGTTTTGACCACATCCCCGTTTCCCAAACGCGTTTTTCCCATTCTTGTCCAAAAAAAATTGATCTCCCATTATTGTCCACAATCACTTCCCAATGCCCATTTCAGTCAAAAATCCTTAATTCAAAAGTGATAATTATAAGTATGGGGTGTATTTTTTTTCTATTAAGAAAATACTATGTGTACTATCACTTTTATTTTCACACACCCAAAATTTTGTTGTAGATATTTGTATTAAAATTCACATAAAAATAATAATTTATTAGAACTCGGCACATCAGATAGCAAGATTTGAAAATACATATAATAAAACTCTTTTTATTATTTTTATTAAGATCGGAAGTATGTGGAACTAAAAAATATAACATGGCTGATGAATTGTGGCCATAACTGTCGGAAATCGTAATTTCAGGGGGCAAATTGCAATTCTCTTAAAGTTGTGGCTTTTGTTGCATTTTACTCTTTAACTCTTAAATTAAAGGGTAGTTTGGTAATTCGGAGCTCAAAGGCCATGGATGCCTAATAAGCACAATCCTCTCTTAAAGCGACTGACGAAACGCACTCTCCGCCACCGTCCTCAGCCGCTCACGGATCATCTCTTCCGCTAAAATGTCGATTAGATCCATCTCAAGGTCCAAACTCTCCGTATATTTGTCCACTGTACTCCTCAGGCACCTCTCCCAAACGCCCGCCTCAGCCGCCGCCGCCTCCAAATTCTCATATGCTTCTTCCTCCTCCTCAGCGGCGCCGTTTCTTCCGCCATTCTCGACCTTCCGGTTTGATGTTGTTCGCGAGTATCACGACGGGCGACCTAGAGGCTCATTGTGGAGAGGCAAGAAGATGATAGGGAAGGAGGCTCTTTTCGTGATACAAGGCCTGAAGAGATTCAAAGACGACGAAGATAAGCTCGACAAGTTCGTGAAAAACCACGTGCTTCGCCTTCTCAAATTGGACATGGTTGCGGTGCTCAACGAGCTCGAACGCCAAGAAGAAGTTTCTCTTGCTGTTAAGGTAAATCGTTTTTATCTAAAACACCCCTTGTCGATCATCGATATTTAGAGGATTTCGTTAGTAGTAACTGTGGATCAATGACTCTACTATACATTTTAGTGTTCCTTTATCGAATTTTTATTAAGTGCTTGCTGATTGGAAATTTCTTAAAAGATACTGTTAAATTGAATTTGTGAATTTAAAGACGACGAAGATAAGCTCTATCCTAATGTCAAGTATGCTTTGCTCTTCTAAACATTTATAAGTACATTTGGGCATATCTTGATCTAACTTCTTACAATAAGGTGGTGTCTGTACCTGTAGAAGGAGATAGGCTGCTCAAGTATAAGCTATTTTATTTGACTGGATGCTGTAGAAATTTATATTAACGATTGCAAGACTTCAGAAGTCGTGATTTGTTCTGTAAATGACCTCACAAGATGAAGTAATTATCTGTAATAGTTTGCTTTCAGTTTTGCAATGACGACTTATCATTGATTTTTTTTTTCCTCTCATTCTTTGAATTTGGTAAATGTAGTTGGGAAGAATAAAAAAGAATTAGTTTGCTCTATTGCTCAATCAGTCCGTCTAGATCATTTATTTCAAGCGTACGGAGATCATCTGAAGACTTGAATTTTTTTGCATCTCCAAGTTCCTTTAGCATTTGTTTTTGGAAAATTTTCTCATATATTCTATATGGTTTTGTTACTTGACCTTTTTTTTTTTTTTTTTTTTTTTAAACTTAAAAACACTTATGTTAGAAGTCTTTTGCTTACACAATTACACACTTCAGATGTTTATGGTGATTCAGAAGCAAGACTGGTATACTCCTGATGTTTATTTGTACAAGGACTTGATTATTGCATTGGCTAGACGCAGAAAGATGGAAGATGCAATGAAATTATGGGAGTTCATGAGAAAAGAAGATTTATTTCCTGATTCACAGACATTTACTGAAGTTATTCGAGGCTTCTTGAGGGATGGATCGCCTGCAGATGCCATGAATATTTATGAAGACATGAAAAAATCTCCATACCCACCAGAGCAGTTGCCTTTCAGAATTTTGTTGAAGGGACTTTTGCCACATCCCCTACTAAGGAATCGGGTCAAACAAGACTTTGAGGAGATCTTTCCTGATCAGCGTGTTTATGATCCTCCAGAAGAGATATTTGGATTATGCTGAGGTCTGTATACTCTTGAATTCCATTTTTCACTCTTTTTTTAAAAATAGGCTGAAGTGGACCTATATTCAGGCTTGAAGTAGCCTGTAGCAGATACAAATTTTCACTTACACAATTGAGTTTGCTCTTGTTAGTTTTGAGATAACAGTAAAATATTAGTTATGTAGCCAAATTGCATAAACTCGTCATATTCCCCAGGCGCTTCTTGATTTTGGATTGTTGCTTGAGATAATAAATTATGGAGTAGAGATATTCTTCCAGTTTTCTTCCTCATGTAATAATATCTTCATTTTAGAAATGGGGAAAGATGGTTGTAGATTGGTTGAACATTTTTAACACCCACCTGTGAGATGGGTTTATGCATCACAGTAAGCTACCTGTGGTGTAATGTGTGACACATGCCATATATCCAAAATTTTGGATGCACTTCAGTTCTCTCAGATTTTTTTTATTTTTTATTTTTCACATTTTAACTTTCTGTTTGTGGGGAATATACAGGGGAAGGCAGATTGGAGCACTGATTGGCTGGCCGAGGGAATTTTCCAAGTTTTGGTTTCTGTGATTGCATGGGCAATTTCATATGTGAAAGTGGGATTTGATATTTCTTTCTGGGATTACGAAACTACTGCTTCTTGCCATTACAGAAGGTTATCAAGGTTCTGATTGACTGTAAGAATGTAGTTACAGCACAAGTTACAAGGCCTGTGGACAATATACACATTCGCAGATTACATTCTTGACCGCCGACTACAACGCCTAATTCATCGTTGGTGGCTTTTTCATGAGGAACTGGGAAGTGTATTTCTCTCTGGAAGACGCTGATCTGATGAGAGAGAAAATGTGAGCTAGTTAATGTAATAATAAACTGAACAAATTGCACTTTTGGTCCTGTGACTATTAGGGTACTGACAATTTGAGTACGTGACTTTCAAAACTCTCAAATTTAAACCTTTAACTACGCAATTATTAGCAGATTTGGTCCTGCCGGCCAATTTTGGCCGGAAAAATATAATTCTTTTAAAATTATTTATTTATAAGGGCAAAATGGTCATTTAACGTCACAGCGATGATTGCCACCGCGCCGCCGGTTGTTCCCGATGATTGCCACAGCGACTGCGATTCTTCTTCCTCCGTCGCGACTGCGATTCTTCTTCCTCCGTCGTCGAAGACGGGGCTACGAAAACTTCGCCAGCTCTTTCAGAAAGCCGCTCCCTTTTGACCTCAACATGCCGCCGCCGATGGACGGCGTCGATGCCGAAGCCAACGATCTTCACTGCACAGCTCTATGTCTCTGACGGACGGCAGTGGCGGTGCCGGCGGCTCATCTTGGCTTCCTTATCATCAATGGAAGCCAAATTGATTGCGTAGCATTTACTTGATCTTTTATTTTCTTTTTTTTATTGCCGGAGAAAAAGGCTGGTGACAAAAAAAAAAAAAAAAAAACAAGAAAATCCCAAATCATCCTTTAGAGCTAAGATTAAACTACGATGATAAAAGGGGTTATAAGTTTGTTGTTTGAAGAGAATTCACTTTTTAAAAAAATTTTAATTTACTTCTGAGATTATAATTCTGATGATAATCATGATGGGTTGGATCAGTGTGTGTTGATATATATATTATCTTGTTATATCTTCTTCAACTCTCTGGATAAAAGACAGGAGGATTATTGTTGTTGAAGTCGAATTTATTTTCTGGCTAACATAGATACAACAGACATAATTTATTTTCCGTCTGTGGCCGGGGCGGAACGCCGGAACAAAGCCGGAGTCTCCGATCACGAACAAAGCCGGAACCAGCGGCGGAGAAGGAGGAGAGTTGGGAGACAGAGCAGACGCAAGAAGAAGAAGAAATGATGTTAAATGACCATTTTGCCTTTATAAATAAATAATTTTAAAAAAATTATATTTTTCCGGCCAAAATTGGCCGACAATTTGACCGGCAGGACCAAATCTGCTAATAATTGCGTAGTTAAAGGTTTAAATTGAGAGTTTTGAAAGTCACGTACTCAAATTGTCAGTACCCTAATAGTCACAGGACCAAAAGTGCAATTTGTTACTTATTGAGTTATGACTATCCTAACAAATACAGCTACTTTTTATTAATAAAATAAAATTTAAAAATCCTTAATTAGCAGTTGCCTGGAGATTATAGAAATATTATCATGTTTTACTAGTAATATAGTTTTATTGACCACAAAATGCTAAGCAGATCGCAGCCAAATTTGCTAGTTATCCTACTATTTTCAGTCAGTGATGCACTGATGTACAAGAAGATATATGACCCAATTAGTACCTGATAAACCATGAAATTCATGACTAAGACTACTAGTAAGTAGTGTTGTAAAAATTCCGCATAAGTATCGATTAATCAGCGCCTAGGTAGGCATTGGTCAGTTGCCTAACGTATCACTATAATCGGCAGCCTTCTACGCACCAATTAGGTCGCCTAATCAGCTGATTAGCTATTTTTCCCTTCTTTTTTAAATGAATTATTTCGCTCAAAATGACATCATTTTGAACGAAATAACCCTAAATTGTTCAAACTCTAGATGTTTTTTAAGTTAATATTAAATTATTAAATAATTTATAATTATCAAGTCCTAAAATTTTTAAAATTTTTTAAAAAGAATTTAAAAAATAAAAATAAAATACATGAATGCCTAAGCGCCGCCGCCTAGACGCCCTAGGCGCTAGGCACCCCCGAACGACTAACAATATTTTCAACCATGCTAGTAAGACCAACATACATCAGCTTTAAATATCAAGACACTAAGAATGAGCAAGTTCGTCCTATGATACAACAGGACACTAGTGTTGGTATTCAGTATATCAGCTGCTTCAGCATTGGCCGGATGATCTCTTAGCAGAAATTTTGTGATGTTTAATCAAAAATCTCCTGCGCTTCAATTATGCTGTGCTGACTGAAATTCATAGGGAAAAAAGCTCTCTTAAAACCACATCCACATCGTGTCCCACTAACCGGTAAAGCATCATTCCCTAGCAGAACATAGTTCATAACATGTGAAGATTAAGACTTACTGGTCATCCTTTGAGATGCGGTAGTATTTTTCTGCATGCTGCCGTTGACCAATGAGTTGAGCAAATCGCTCATCATGTGTGATTACAATCAATTGAAAGTTCTCTTGTCCCTTTCGGTCCTCCATGATCCTGTTGAAATAGGAAAGACAACTGTAAGATTTTGCACATAAATGCCCCCCCATATGTCAATGTATATGATGATGGTATTTGCCTTAGCAGTGCTGCAGCAAGACTTTCAGAGTTTGGGCAATCTAGGTTTGTTGTTGGTTCATCGAGTGCCAGTATCCCACAGTTTAAGCAAAAAGTTTCAGCTAATGCCAATCGTATTATAAGTGACGCAAGGACCTGAATATAAGCAGCAAACCATTATGATTGAACAAGTGGATGATAACTGGGGGAGAAAAATAGAGCCAACCAAGCTGATATAGGCCAGAAAAGCTAAAGAATATGAATGAACATGATTTACCTTTTGACCAGCACTACACCTCCCTCGCATTTCAAGCTCCGCATCACCAGTTTGCATCACTAACTATTGAATTGCCATGTAAAAAATGATTGCAGAAGTTCAGCTCCAAATGTCAGTCAAGAGACTACCATAATTTTTTATCTCATGGAAGCAAAAGCAGGGGGATATAACAAAGTGATCCCTAGAGATTACTGGTTTGCACATGTTGGGTCAAGATATGCTTTATGTGAATGTTTTTTTGGGGGGATAAGTGTTGATAAGTCCCCGAAGTACTGTACTTAGAATGGTGCAATTAAGCCCTTTTAAGAAAAATAAATAAATAAAATAAAATAAAATAAAATAAAATAAAAGCTCCATTCACTCATTCAGACCCCAAAAGTAGACAAAGTTCAATTGGCTCATTTAGCAGTTAACAACACAAAAGCTGAGTTGGTGGTAATAGTGCTATGCCTAGGTTAGATTCCAGGTGTACTTTTTACAGAGTTGACGCTGATTTTACATTTTATTTGGTGGTAGTTTTGCTAACTAGGATTTTTTTTTTAAATACAAAATTTTAAAATATTGTTAGACGGAGGCCGGCAAAGACTGTGTCTGTCTTAGTGTTAACAGCAATTGCAACAATGGCATCTCATCTGTGATGATCGCCTGTCGATGGTGTCTCAATGTCACTGATGAGTGATGACTGTCACCTGTCAATTGGCTGGCCATCAAAAGTGGGTGAAGGGCAAACTAGTCAGTCGGCCGCCTAAAGTGGTGACTTTCGCCTATTTCATTTCTGCCTAGGCAAAGTTTTACAACAGTGCTAGACGGACTGCTTTTACATATATTTCTAAGTGCATCCCTTTTTGTGAGATATTTTTGAGATTTCTAAAGATGCAACACACTATTCATAGTGTAAGCCCTTGTTTTTCAATTTCTAAAGATGCAACACACTAGATGTCATTTCCCCACTGATATTTCAGAATAAAGAAACATATACACAATAGGGAAGGGAAAAACACACACACACACACACACAATAACAACAAAAATAATAATAGAATAGATTTAACTACCTTATAGCTATAAGATCGAGTGCCAGAAGTTTCAGAATCCGAATGAATTCTTATGTAATCTATATCTTGTCCCCTGTAAGTTTGCTGCCACAGTTCACGAATAATCTTATTTATCTCTTCCATCTTCATTGTGTGGAATCGCATAAGTGCCCTGAAATGATACCAACCAAAGGAAAAGTTCTATAATAATAATAAAACTAGAGATTTTTTTTTTAAGAAAAAAAAATAGAGATATAAAACAAGGTAATTATATAGAATAGTAAAAATAGCAATAATCACAGTGCAGTGATGGTAATGTCAAATTGGTTTTAGGAGCTTCCATGTGCACCAGAAAGGACCTCATTATGCCAACATTAGCTGATGATATCTAACTTGCATTTTTTGGTGATGAAGAAAAATTTCCATGAATTGGAATATATTATGAAACAAGCAATCCCTCTGTTCCATTTAAATTGACCCTATTTTCAATTTAGCCACTTCCAAAATACTTGACCTACTGAGGAAATAATGGCATATGAGATGCACATAAAATGGGAAGAATGTAAGGTGCTAGTCTACAGCCAATGGGGATTATATCATTTCAAACATGAATGGTACAAATTTTGGCCAAGTGCAATTGTTAAGTCTTCAAATTGCGGAAGTCTAAATGGCTGAAATTACCTATAAAATAATTGTAATGAAGACTTGAAGAGTGTTCGAGAAACAGAAAAAAGGGGTGGGAGCTTAACCCTCTTTATGAATGTGTTGTGGTGTCTTTTCCCTAAAAAGGAATTTGTATATCTTTCTTGTAGAGATAGAAGAGATACTTGAGCATGCTAAATAAAATAAGTTCAACTTCACAAACTACCCATATATTATATGCGGGGCTTGTGTCGAGACTTGAGGATCCTAAAAGAATAATCAATGTGTTACCCATTCTAGAGCTTAAGCCGAGGTGGAACCCACATTGAATAAACAAAATATAACCTTAAACCAATTAAATAAGAGGATAGTATTTTCAAGCAATAGACAGCAAGCTGGACTAAGAAGCTCACTTATCAAGGGCATTGTAGTATCTGTCCAGGTCCTTGTTTGCCATCTCAGTTGTCTGTCAAAGAACATATAAGTTTGTTATACAACTACATATACTAATGAGACAAACAATAAATAAAATTTTAAAGATATTTACCTTAAGCTGGATTAGCTGATCAAAATAACGTTTGTCAATGTCCTTGTATTGTGCTTGTTTAAGATCAATTTTATTTTTGGATATATTGCTTTCAAAAACAGAGATAGTACCACGTGATCTATTTAACTGCAAATAAAAGTAATACATTTCTGTAAGAGTAAAAAAAGAAGGTTTACAAACCACAGCTTTGATATGCGAATAGACAAGGTTATAAAGGCTAATATTTATGACATTTTTCTGAAGAAAATAAAGTGTAAAGCAAACACAGCTGAAAGATGGAAAGTAAGCAAAGATGGTATCATTACAAGTGGAAAAACAATCATATGTTAAAATAGAAGGGGATGACTGCCCCTCACTACATCCCTGCAACAACCAAGAACTAGGAGGAATCGAAGAGAAACTATATGCCCACAAGTGTTAGCAAATCGCTTACTACATGTTTGGTTCACAGACTGAATTTTGAAGGAATAGGAATGCTAATCCATAAGGAATGAAATAGATAAGGAATAGAATATAAATTCTATTCCATTGTTAGGTTCACTGAAAAAATAAACTTAAGGAATTGTATTACAGTGTTTGATTGTTTTAAGGAATAAAAATGGAATAAGTATTAAAATGACAAAAATATCCTTTATACTGAATGTGTCATATATATATATATATATATATATATATATATATATATATATATATATAGAGAGAGAGAGAGAGAGAGAGAGAGAGAGAGAGTTTTATATGGGCACTGCGAGACTGATTTATGCCCAATGTTTGTATTTAAATAAGTAATTCAAAGTAAATCAATGCAAAATAATATAGGAGAAGTTCATTATAGTTGGTATTAAAATTAATGTTTAATTTGCATTTTTCTAATAATTATCTAAATATTTATTGTAGTTGGTATGGTATTAGGTAGTAGATACTAAGCATGTGTATAAAGAGTATTGTTGGTATTATAATAGTATAATACAAAAGCTATTCCCGAGAGCATGGGAATAGCTAATACCAGGCCTCCCCTATGAATGGATATTCCCCCTGCAAAGGGAATAGCTCAATCCCAGGAACGCTATTCCCAAGACAAAAAGGCCAAGGCAAACAATAGAATAGGTCTATTTCCATGAACGTTATTCCATTCCTGACCTATTCCATGAACTAAACATGTTGGTAAGGAATATGGAGAATTGTTGTCAGAAACTCTTGTGTGGTACTATTTTTTTTTTTCGGTGGAAACCACACATTGTGGTCCGGGTCTCTCTCTGTCCGTTTAACGGTCCAGGTCCACCCGGTTCGCTCCGAGAGGCACAGAAGCTGGCCCAAAGGGAACGTCACTTATGGGAATCGAACCCAGGTTATCCTGGAATTCTCCCCCACAAAGAGAGCTCATTTGCCACTTGAGCTACCCTGTTGGGTTACTGTGTGGTACTATGACTTCCCATTTTTCACACTTGTTATGTAATCAAGTTATTGTCTTCTTAACCAATTCTTGAATTCTGAATTGCATTTCCGGCCAATAGTCTGTAACTTGTTTCCAAAACCAAGAAAAAGGGAAAATAAAAATAAAAATGAAAAGGCACTGAAGGTTCTATGGAAACCAAGTCAAATATAATCCAAACATGTCCACTTTAATTTCCCAAGTAGATGTAATCAGACAGTCTAATTGACTAGCTTGCAAATCACATAGAAAATGACAACCTTATGAAGGTCTCCAGGGTATCTTACCTCTGAAAGAAGCCTCTCTCGCTCTTGTGAAAGCCTTACAATCTCTGCCTCGACACTAGAGAGACGACCAATTTTCAGCACTTCCTCTTCCAATGATTCAATTTCACGAGTAAGCCGATCGACATCAGCCTTGGTTTTCCTATAATCCAAGTTATCCTCAATGTTGCGCCTCAAATTGTCTTCATTCATCTTTGAATCCTTGCTTTTGGTCAGTTGTTCTGATAACTCCTTCAATCTGGACTCACAGTTTCGAAGCTCAGATTCTGAGCAATTTTGCTTTTCAAGCAGTTCCTTCAATCTATCTCCTTTCTTCGCAGTATAATACCTGCATGGAAAGACAGTCATTTAACCAATGGGAAAGAATCATCTATTTTGTAAACAATAGACATCACATACTCTTTAATTTTAGAAGCCAGCCCTTGCAATGCCTTCATTTCCTGTCTAAAATTTGAACAAACTTGTAACTGCTTTTCTTGCTCATGTTCAAATTTCTCTTTCAAATCATTGTAGTCACGGAGCAATTTGTCTTTTTCCTTTGATAAAGGTCCAAGAGCCTCTCCGAAATGCTGAAATTTTCATATGCCAGTACATGATTAATTATTTGTCCCAACTCCCAAATATGATACGACTTCCATTATTATATAATAAAGAACGAAACAATTTTCAGATTAGTGAATAGTAAGTAAAAGAAGAAATTTCAGTACCTAAAGAAGTTGACAAAAAAATCAAAAATAAATACTGAACATTCAGTACTCATACATATGCATCTAACATACTCCATTTTAAACTTGTTGAAACGAAAATATAAATTCACAAATGAAAATAATACATTATCAAATATCAGTTGGAATGTTTATGTATCCTGCAATTCAGTTAGAGATGCTTTCACTTACCGTAAATGTGGAGCAAATTGTTGATTTAACATCAAATACCAGACAAATTTGTACTAGCAAGAGTTGCAGGAATAAAAATCATTTATAATCTCCATCAAACCTTGGATTTATGGAGAAAACATAAGGAGAATACCTCAGACAGGCTAAAATTTGAAGCAAAAGCAGAAGTTTTTCTCAAGTAGAAACTGAGGGAACACTTTATGAACAATTATAACATAAAAACTAAAATAAAAGGCATAAATATCTTTAAGCAGAAGGTAACTAAATGCATGATGAATGCACCACATGATCTAGATAATACTACATGTATATTGTGTTACCCCTGGCATAGCAGTGAGGCTTATTTATTAAGACAAGTCTTCTGGGTAAAATATTAGATTACTTACTGGATGACAAGAACAAAAGAGCATTGACCCTAGTCATCATCGAATTTATATTCTAGTCATTTAATGACTATTGCCAAATTTAAGAAGAGAAGTAGATTTCCATGAAGTACTGTTAGCAACTTCACAATTATTGGAAAAATAAATATACAATTGCTACAATTATGGCACATGAAATATATGTTAAATCAGCATCCATATTGGCTGGGGATACTGTATATACTAATTGGTGAGAAGTAGCCATCCAGAAAGAAGAAATAGCTAGTGCTCACTTTGAGAAATTACAACCATTTGGATTTCGGAAATTTTTTGGGAAATCAGAAGGTTCAAACCCCAAACCCCAGATTTCAGCTCCAATAATTTTCCTTGTTTTTTTTTTTTTCATCTGTTTGGGTCACCCCAGTATGCCTTTAACTCTTTGGAGTGTTACAGACTGGAGAATTTCATAATACGCATTTCTACAATTCTACTGTTCTGCTTTGTTGGGATGATATCTTATCCTATTATCCTGTACACTTCTTCCTACTAAAGAAAAATATACAAAATTTTAAATCAAACAAAGAAGATAATGTCAAGGAGAAATGCAACTTATACTACTTTTACCTTCTCATCAAGCTCAACTTGACTTTTCTCTTCTGTCAACCATTCTAATTCCTTTTGTGCCTTCTCAACATTCTGCAAAGTGGAAGTTGCTTTAAATTTCTCTTCCCTGATGTTACCCAACCTTAGCTGTGCACTAGTGCGATCATTTTCCATGTAAATCTGTTCTTCTCTTAGCTTTTCTACCTCATTATGCAAATTATCCCTGGGACAATTTAAGATTAGAACAGTATAATAAAGATATTGACAAGAATTGTCATATATTATCTACATTTTCGCATATGGAAAACAAAGAAATACATAATTTGAATAGCTGACAAGCAAATATACTTCTTGGTCTCCAATATATTCAGCTCTGATTGGATTTCCTCCATGGATTTGACACCCTGCCCTCGAAAATCAAGCTTGTATTCCAAATCATCAACCTGCTTCTGCAAAACCTGTATTTCATGTAAAAGCCTTTCAGCATTTTCTACAGGTGGAATTAGGACATCCACTGCATCCTTGTCTGCCTTTATCTGAGCCAAGACCCCCAACACCTGCCGACAAGGGAGGTACCAGAGTTAATTTTTTTTCATTTCTTAATAATCTTTATTAACCCAACAAAAAAATAGAGGGTATACTGTCAAGTTTTATCACCAGGGAAAGCAACTGAGGTTCTTTTCAATAAAATTAGAACAATGTCCAGCAAGGATATTTTATAGCATTGTCTGGTGTTCGGCATTTAGTCAGAACAATTTCAGCTATTGAGAATTAGTCTTTACCATCATAAAGAAGGATTCGTCTTAGGACATCACAGAATAGTATACAATACCAAAATAATATTCAGGTAATCAAGAAGTTCCGTATATGCTACTGAATATCAGAACCACAATTAAAAGGCCCAAAATATCTACAAATAATTCAACGATTGGAACTAGAAAGAGAATCAAATATGGCGCCATGGCGGTAACTATTCAATTGATACCATCTGCAGCTATAGGATGTACATTAGAAGGAAAAATAAGTCAAGCAAGCCAGAAAGGTAACAGTAGCCAACAATATCAGGGGTTTAGCTAAAGAGAATGATGACACCAAACACATCAGGTTAAGTAAACTCAAATATGGAAATCTGCAAAAGGAAATTTGTGGTTTAGAGCCAAGCTATTTTATTATTGTGCTTTGTCCAATTTCAGCATTTTCATCCAAAGAAAAAAACAGAGACCAGATGAAGAATGAAAAGAATGGTGCCAAGGTGAAGCACAGGGCAGTCCATAGAATCCAGAACCAAATTCCTAGAGGGGAGTGATAAAACAAGCTTTTAGTATCTAGCAAGACTACAGCAGCAGATAAATAAAATTAATCAAGTACCCACTGTAGAAGATTACATCATCAAGAGCCTGATTCTTTTGATCCAACTCTTCATTGAGCTCATTAAGGTTTTTCTCCGCAAGAGGAATTGACTCCTTTCCTATTTTAGTATACTCTTCATAAACCATACGAAGCTTGTCTAATTGTTGGAACTGAGAATCAGCATGTGAAGATTCCACAGCCAATACTTTCATATGCTCAGCAGAGCTCGCAGCTTTCACCCGTTGCTGCAATGACAATAAGAATTCAACCCAGCCTTAATCCAATCTAGTTTAAGTAGCTACACAAGTATTACATATTTACCAAGCAACATGCATCTGAAGATAACACTTCATTGTTAATGATGATACACAAAACAAATTTCAAAAAAGTTAACCTTTTTAACAAAATCATCTTCCTCTTCAGCAGAGAAGGGACGTTCACAGCAAGGGCAAATATGATGAGCACGAGCAACTCTTTCAAATGGCTCAAACATTTGACGCATACCATCAGCAATGTTATATTTGCTGCATTTCAGTATATAACCAAATAAATGCTTCAGGGTTACGTCCTCAAACAGTTCTCTGTACAAAAAGCCTTTTTTCTTTATAAAATAGACTAGGAATGGCAAACCTTTTCTGGACATCCCTTTTCTCTTTGACTGAATCCAAAACTTTAGAGTAATAGTCAATACTTGCAGACTGTTGGTCAAAAAACTGGAGTTTTGATTCGACAAATCTTTTTCTTGCTGCAATTGAATCAAAGAAGGAAATTGTATGAGCATCTAGAAAAAGCAATGGCATTAGAGTGAAGTAAGGAAATGCTCCTAACGAGAAAAACATATGATAAAAATTATCACTTTGCTGCAACAGAACCAAAGGGGGAATTGTACACAACCCATCAGCTTTGCCATAAGGAGGGGAAATTTTCTAATAAGAGGGAAACTTATCAAATATAGAATTCATACACTTCACCATAGGCACTTACATCATAAATAAAGCCCTCAAAGATCAAGCTTCAAGCTTTCTTATCTCACAACATGTACAGGTTTCAATTAATTTTTTGGCAGGAGTTTCTTAAACAGGTTGGAAAGCAACTGCTAAATGTAAATAATAAGGAAAAATATGTTAAAAACACAAGCTTGTGTATACATCAGATGATGCAAGCTGTGGAATAATGCTTACATTCCACGTCCTTGTTAAGTTTGTATAAGTTATTATTAACTTCTTCAATTTTCATCTGCAACATATTCACTTCCTTCTCAGCTTCACGAGCTTTTGCACTCAAGTCATCAAACTCTTTCTGAAGAGCCCTGCAGTGATAATTGCAAGGCAAAACAAAAGGCAAACATGAATACCTAATCAGAGAACAAGACAAAAATAAATAAATAAATAAATACATGACATATGATGCACTAAACGTTTTTTAAGCAATGGAATGTTTACATAGGAAGAAATGAGTGAAGTGTGCAGGACATGGAGACCACAAAATCAGAATAACAAAAAAATTGAAGCATTATTTGAGACAATACTTTTGAACTACCAGGAAATATACCATTTAACCTGTTGCATAGAAATTGAGACAATGCAAGAGCAAACAAAAGTGCCAGTAAATCAGTGGACTGCCTACAGAAACCCAAACAACCAGGAAATGGAACTAATAGGAGTTTTTATTTGTAAGAAGCTATTGGTTTCAAGCTACAGAGCACCTAGAACCTAAAGTGTTCCTAAGAGTGAATTTTAGACTCCCAAATAAATCCAGCTTCAAATGTTTCAAGCATGTCCAAGGACTTCAACAGGTTGGCAGATGTAAAAGAATCAAATAAGAAAATACAGAATTCTACCATAACCAAAGGAAAGGAAATATATAAAGGGTCAAGAAACCAAATTCCCTTTAAACTACAGAGACAAATCATTTGCCACTTTAAAATGAACAATTTAGAGAAAGTTAAGAACTGCAAAACCTACACTATCAGGTAAAGGCATCAACAGAGGAGATAGAGGGATTAACTGACCTCTGGGCCTGTGTAACTTCTTTCTTCAAATCCTTGTCAGGAGGAAGCCTTCCTTTCATCACCCCTTTAATTTTATCCTTGAATTCATCAACTCTGTAGTGTTAAGGGAATGATTATCAGATCCGATGTAGAGAGAGTATAAACTGTTGTGAAATAAAAACAGTGAAAAAATAATAATGTATTCAGTATAAAGTCACTTGCATCTTCTTGTGTTTCTTTTTCTGGGTTTCCAGCTCTGCCTTCTTAAGGGAGAGTTTAACTCTGTCTTCAGAATCAGCAGCCAATAGGTCTCTTTCATGATTAAGAGCTTTGATTTTTTGAACTAAGCTATATATCTCACTCTGCTTTTGCTGAATAGTTTGCCCAAATTCTCGTTCTTCTATTTGTTGGTTCTTTCTCTCACATTCAGCTTGCTGCAAAGCCAAAGAGAAAATGTAAGGTCTGTAGCTGTAGTAGTGCTACAGTTGAAAGGCTTGAGCAGAAACAACAAACCATTCTCCGTTCCCTCTCGTCCAGGTGAACCAAATTGACATTAGATATTTCAAGTTCAAGCTCATCAAGCTCATTCTTCTTCTGTTCAATGCGCTTCAAAATACTGCTCTGCATTGGACAATGGACACAACCATCATTATCTAAAACTCAAAAAGTAGCATCAACAGGATACAACACAAGCATTGCATATTTTATGAGAAAACCTTGATCTCTGCTTTAGCCTGTATGCTGGCACCCATATCTTTCCAACGGCTATTTGCATTCTCGTACTGACGCCATGCCGTTGTAGTTATCGCCAGGTTTGATTTCTGAAGAACATTCATGCAAGCAATGTAAATTACATCATCTTGGATTTATGACAGAGCACAAAGAAATCACATCATGAGTGAATAGGAGAGGCATTGAAAACATGAAAATTTGATAACATTATATTTAAGAGCAAGTAAAGAAGTAGAGAGCACAAAACACCTGAATAGAGGGAGGCATAGTATGAAAAATTGTATCTTCTATGTGCACCATATCAAACTTCTTGCTTTAAACAATAAAGTCTTAAAGACCCAAATAGAGGGTGAATTTGTATATCTAATTTTTCTAATATATATATCCTTAAATTCCTAATTTTATGGTCTTCTATAATAAGCCTATTGTCAATAATAATATTAAATATTAAATATTAAACATGTATCCCTCACTAACTTAAACCTTATATAGTTGAGGTGGAACATATTATCCAGTTTGGTAAAAAAGCAATTAAAAGTTCTAGGTTCAAATTTCACATGCTACCCCACATCAAAAAGTGTTCACATGTTTAGCCCATAAAAAAGTATTCAACCAACACAAGGATAAGATCTTAATTGAAGTGGAACACATCATTTTATACACATGATAATGTTTATCATTTCTTGAATACTAGTAAAAAATTTGGGAGTTTTATGTATGTGGTTTTTCATTTGCAGTGAGCACTTCTGCAAATTATGATATTAATCAAGATTATTATGCTAAAAACAGGAATAGGCATTACTTTGAAATGAAATAGGTATACAGCTTCTTTCAGAGTTTCAGGGTTTATCAACACCTTTGCATGATAGAAGTACACTATTCTATACTTATCACCCAAAAAGAGAGAGAGACAGCTATTGGAAATGAGAGTTTGTAGATGGCACAGAGCAGTTTTCACTTCTCTTCAAATCTTATCTACTCTAAAGCTTGATTTGTTGAGATTTTTCTTCTCATTATACCCATTATGTGCATAACATTTATTCGTTGTATGAATCTGCTAGATGAAGTAGCCAGTGGGACCAAACCAACAATACTCATAAATTGAAGTGCAACCAGTCGGACCAAAAACACAGGTTTCTTAAACCATGAGGTGGCTTCACCTTCAAGCTGGAGAAAATCAGAATAAGAAAAAAAACACCTGGCCAGCTTGCTTTCCTTATTTATGCTCCTAATAAAAATGACAATAAAAAGGAGAGAGAGAAAGAAAATTCCAGCCCTTTCAAGTTAGCCAGTGTTATTCTTCTACCTTAGGAAATAAAACTGTACTATGTTAGTAAGATAATATTTTAGCAAAATATGTCAAAAAGGCATTGAGATTCAATAATATAGCTTTCAGCCATGTACTGGTTTCAAGTCTGAACAGTCTACACCAAGCATTTGTCAATTTAAGAAATGATACTGTACACCAAATTGCAGCAAGATTCCCCCATGTATGTGTATGTGTGTGTCTGTACTTGAAAGTTGAAACAATAAACATAGAAATCACCTTTTTATCCTCCAAATCCTTTTCATAGCCCATGAGCCTCGATGATATTCGATTCATGAGGTCCTCAGCAACTTCATTACTGAATGGAGTATTTGAAACAGGACCTAAATTAAATCTTTCAAAAAGCTCCTTAATAGTTGCATCTCTCTGACTCTTGTTGGACATGTGAGCCTATGCACCAAAAGAAAACAACCAAAAAAGAGGAAATTACTTCAAAAAAGAATTTTAAAAAACGTTATTAATATCAACTTGTGCATTACAGTAAGAAATTACTTCAGCTTCAGTTTGAAGTTTGCTAATATCCCGGATACAGTCTTTAATTTCCTCCTGAAGGTGAAATCTCTTCGTTATTGTGTCATCCTTTTCTCTCTCCAATTTGCTAATTTTTGATTCCAAACGAGCTAGCCTTTCATCAAACTTGGTTTTCCATTCCAGCAGTTCTTCATCAGTATCTAGAAGCAGAGACAGAGCACTATCAGAAAACACATTCTTTTTAGAGAAGTGAATAAAAGGAAGCACATTATAAAGGGACCTATGAAAATTGACAAACAACCTCAAAAATCAAGGTTACAGCTGCATGCATATAATTATGCCCTGATTTTTGCATTTAAGTGTGCCCTACTTTCTCTTAACTATACCACATGCAATAAAGGAAGAGGGCACAAGCTAGAATTTTTTTTTTAATAGAAGTAAAGATCTTAGTAGTAGACAATGTAAAATACAGGAGAACAGTATGACTTCAAGTAAAGAGGCACTCCAATCTCAGTTAAGGATCCCATTGCTTACACAAAAAAGAACAAAGAAAAATCACTCTGTCCCATAAACATTAGCATCACATAAATGCAAAAATAGCATGTTGTCCTTTTTGAAAAGTTTCACTTTGCTCCTCATTTCATTTGAGGACGTGCTTGCTTATGAAAGGAACCTGAACTTCTGAAAAAAAAATACATATATAGGGAATCTAACTGTACACCACAAACCTTCATTCTCTGTAGCTAGAGCAGCATATTTTCTCTCCTGCTCTTTGAACAAAGTGCTTCTTTCTACAGTTTTGGCAGTTATCAGATCCTGTAATTTCCTTAGGTCCTTTAAAGTTCCTTCAACATGGTGGATCTTACTATCTAAGTTTTGGATCTCTCCTTCAAGCTCTTGCATTTGATTTTTCACTTTCTCTGTTTTCTCCTGATCTTGAACAATACTTTCTCTTAACTATACCAAAAACAAGCCAAATTTGATTAGCTTTTATCAAGTGCCTTCAACTAGAATGAATCGACATTTTTGAAATACAACTCAAACTCTTGGTTCCACATGCTTAAAGAATGTCCTTAATAAGCTACATCAGAGAGGAGAAAAGGATTAACTCAAAAATTTTCATCTGCAATCTGGAAAATTCAAGACAAAGAAGCACTAAGAAACCTTGTATGCAGCATCTTTCAGTGTTTGAAGATTCTCCAATTTCAGTTTATATGACTTTATCTCTTGGGCTTGATCCTTGTGAAGTTTTTTAATAACTTCCAGAGCCTTTGTATATCTGAAAAGTAACCACAGAAGAACTTATAACATATAACCCCAAAAATTATATATATATATATATATATATATATATCCTACAACTATAGCATTATAGGACAGAGAACTAAATGGAACAAAATAAGGACTGCCATTTAGTTTCTAAAGAACCCTTAGGATTTAGGAATGTCTTCCCCTATTGTTAACTTTATCGTTTAACTGCCTCAAAATTTTATGTTCATCAAACTTTTCTTCAAAATTTTCAAAGTTACCCTCAAAAGAATTAGAAAGGAAAATCAACCTAGTTGCCAACAAAATAAAATATTAAAAAACATTTTTTAATGTCTCAGTTCTAATTTATGGGAATTTTATTCCTTCCTGTTGAATGAAAAGGAGAAGCAAGTAGATCACTAGATTGTATTGAGAAAAGCTTCATTATAAAATAGAGTATTTGCACTTATATATACAGATGAAAGTGTTGGTCCCAGTAATTTGAAAAACTATACGAAAGGTCTCCAAAATCTTGATTAGAAAGGTGGTTGTAATTATCCAAACTTTGAAAAACACTGAAACAGGGAACATTACATAAAGTATTCTCCAAAAAATTTAAGACAAAACCAATCATGGACCATGGATACAGCTCAAAAAGCATCGTTCTACAAAATATGTCTCTGCCTCAACAGAAGTATTGTAATAAGAATCTTAATTTAAAGTTAGTTATTGCTTAGGGTGTGGCCCACGTGAATTCCAAATATTTTCCCTTATGTTTGTCAACAATGTGAGTCAGATCATTAGTGCAAAAAGAAGAGCAAATCATAGGGGCTCCATTTAATTTCATGTAAATGTTATTAATAAGCCGTTTATCAAATTAAAGTACAAACATTCTATAACAGAAAGAGTCTGATGATACAAGTTGAGATAAAGAAATGGTTTCTCCAATGAAAAAATTCAGTGAGCTACTTGCATCTCATTATTGGGAACATCGTGTACCTAGTAGCAGAGAAGATGTCATCAAACTTCTTTTTCAGCGTAGAAGGATCTTGCAGTGGCCAATTGGCCTCATCTTGGTGTACAAAAATCACATTTTCAAGAATAGCCTTCGACACACCCATAAGAGCAGGTATTTCACGGTCCATGTCTGCACACCTATAGCTTAAGCAAACTTTCTGCAATTAAAAGCAGAAGATAATCTAGGAATCAAACCTTCAAATTTTGTAGAAATGTATTGAAGACTGAAGTTACAATTATTCAGTCAAGCAGACACCTTCAAACAAGAGGCCCAGAGAAATTGTTAATGTCAGGGAAAATAAACAAGTTGCAACACCAGACATGAAAATAGCAGAAGGAAAAACACGAGCACACAGCATAATGTATCAACTTTACTAAACCTATTAATAATGTGATTGACCAATCTGTCAAGCCACTGAAATGCAAGTTATAGTAGAAAGCTGCAATTTTCCATGGGAACCATGCCATAGTGTTTTGAGAGCTCAAGTACATATTAAGCAGTTTCTATGCTACTTTATGTTAACTTCTTGTGGATGAATGACTTGTATTCAATTTCAAATGCATTCAGCAACCATCTTAGACACTTCTGTTATTTCCAATTCATTTTTTCTGCTTATATTTCCTGTTGATATTTTTTAGGAAACCAAATAATGCTTTTCATATCAATTCTAGATTTAGCATCACTATAAATTTAAGATTCCATCTCACAAGTGGATTTTAACAGTGAAACTACTCTGATATTAATGTGTGTGAGAGATAGAGAGACATCGAAGGGCATTTAAGTCATGCAATTCCAGCATTTTACAGTTCCAGAGCATTCCAAATTGTATGAACTGAATAACTTGTTAAAAGCTATGGAATTCATACATCAACTGTATGCAAAAAAAAAAAAAAAAAAATTGGCAATTCAGCATCAGCAGCACCATTGTGAAATTTTTCTTCTCGAGTATGTCAGCTGGAATGATTTCTGATAGAAATACTGAACCATCAAAATTGCCGGACAACAACTTAGAAAAAATACAGACGAGCAAAGAAGCAGCAATACCTCTCCAGTATGAGGATTGATTGTCTGCAGCACACTCTCAATGGCTTTATACTCCATCTTTGTGGCCTTTTGAGTTAGCTGAAATGACCTAATGCAGACCACATCCTTCGCTGCTGCAGTCTTAAACCGCAACTTAATCTGCCCTTTTGTCTCCGTCTCCCCTGCCACCTTCATTAACCCAGAATTCATTTTAGTCAAATTTTGAAAATCAGTTTGCACATCAGAAATATATTCAAAAACGAACAAGATCAAAGAGAAAAGACCTTGGGATCATGGACAAAACTATGACCGGAACGAGCATTAGGAGGCAATTCTCCAGTGCAGGCCACCTTCAAGCACTCAATGATTGTCTGCCTCAGAAAGAACATACAGATTATTAATCAATAAGTTATGAACAGTGTATCAACATATGTACACTGGTCAAACACTTAAATTTGCAATAATCATCGCCTTCATTTCAGTGAAGACTCCTGCAACTACCACTGCCCAGTATACGACATGCTGGTGTTGTAGCCACACTACTAACGGCTGTCATTCTAATTAAATTGTATACCCGCGTAATTATATGCAGACAGTTACCAGTATAGAGTATAGACTATAGAGTGCATCTAAATACAGAAATACAGATATCGCAGGAGAGAGTGAACAAGGTTACAGTTTTTCCGGCGCCGTTGGGGCCGACGATGAGGGTTAAGGGTTTGAAGAATGTAATGACGTTTTTGTTCTCCGGGTCAAAGCTCCGGATTCCCTTTATCAGCATCTTGTCGACCGTGCTCATCTTCGTTTCTTCCTTTTCCCTCTTCTAGTATTTGATTCTGAAGCTAAAGCAGCATTGCTGCAATGAGATGAATGGAAGTGTAGAAGATCAAGGTTTTCCCGGTTTAATAAGAGATTTTTTATTGTACACTGCGACTCTGGGAGGGAAGTGTTAGACTGTTAGTGTTAGTGTAAGCACCAGAATATTTTACCATTAAAATATTCTTGGATATATTTGGTTTAAATAAAATACATATAATTTTTACAGTTTAATATATGTGAATTTTCAATATCCCATATATAGACCAAATTTATATTACGATATAATATAAACAAAAAAATTATGAACCAATAATATATTTGTGTTCAATCAAAGTTTAAAACATTGTGCACGGTAGAGTTTAAAATTTATTTATAATCATGTGAATAATTTATAATGTTAAATATAAACAAATAAATTATGTTTATAAAAATGCCATAATAAAAGCATATCAATTGAAAATTTGTTTTTGATGGGCCCTAGGGAGTACATCCCAAATAATAATTGAAGTAAGAGGTGGACTTGACCAAGGGGATTCAATTAAGAAAGTGGGGGGAGGGGTGGGTTTTTTTTTTTTTTTTTTTTTTTTTTTTTTTTTGGGGGGGGAAAATATGACTAATGAAATGTTTAGCAGCGCGCGGTATGAAGCACAATTCAGAAAAACAAGAGGTTTGGTCTGTGCCGACGAAGCATCGATCATAGACCTATATGCCATATTTTGGTTCACTTGGTTGTGACGGATCACCCAAGTGAGTGGCAAGTTATTTAGTGGAAGGGTGGATATAGAACGAGCAACTTAGGTGGACTGCTCAGATTGACTATCTAGACGTACCACTCAGACGAACCGTTTAGGCGGATTACTCATACGAACCATCCAGGTTGTTAGCAATACAGTTGGTGATGGTTAGAACGTGGCCTACGACATGACGCGCATAAAAATATTTGGCGAGAGAGTGTGATACCTAGTGGGACATGTGTACGACATATGAGGGCAAATAGTTGTGGTCTGGTATCTTGTCTATGACTCACGGACCTATGAACAGTATAAAAAGGGGGAGGGGTGTCTCCATTCAAGGCATCATCATCATCCGCTCTCCTTCTCTCTTGGCTTCTTCATCGTTATTTATACGGTCCGCTAGTTAACAGTGGTAGTTCAATCCATGTAGTTGGATTTGATAAGTGGGCCATTGGACCGAATTCATTCTCTTTGTTTATTCAATACATTTACCGTCCGTTTGTATTATTTAAGGGCCCTGAGCCTTGTCAATTCAATGCGCTTAGTGTACCTATTACCAATAGGTCAATACTAAGACTAAATGTAATTAAATTAAAATTGTAAGAATAAATGTGATAAATAAATAAATATTACCCTAGTCCAGGTGTAACTTTAATTAATTAATTATTCTTTTATAGTTATGAATATGCTAGTGGAAACAACAATTCAAATATTCAAGCTTACAAATATTGTAGAATTTGGATATTGCGTTTAATTTTTGGGTGTAAAGTATATTGATCTAATTACGGTTTTTGGTCATGTGATTCTAATTAATTGAACAAAATTATTTTGAAAGAACGGGAGAGGCCAACTAGGCGCGCACCACTGAACTGAATCTCCGCCTCTCCGGGAAGAAATGGAAACATCAGTCCCTTCATCGATGGCCGGTTTAGACGACTGGGATCGTCCTTTCACTGATCTAGAGCTCCTAGAAATCGAAGCAGCTTTTCAATCTGCCACCAACAAGCGCAAAGATTCCGATAAGTCCTCCGCTCCCGCTGCCGAAGATGAGGTTAACGGCGATGTAAATAAATTTCGCCGGAACCATCGCCGGAGACTGCCTGCATCACTCTTCTCCACTTCTTTTTCCCTGTCCCCATGCCCTAGAAGTCGATTTAAGCATCAATGTATGTATTCTATTCTCTCCCGACGCTCTTGTTTTTGAATTATTACAAAAAAAATTAAAAAAAATTGATGTTTTTTCCTTATTTGTGTCGATTGAATTATTTTAGTGAATAGGTTCCCAGCACTAGCATTCAGGGGGCGTATTGTATATAGCAGAACTGCAGTTGAGGCCGAGAGATCTGCAGCAGAGCTTTTAAATTTTATTGAAACGAGGAAGAGAGCAGAAGGTGTAGTTGCTCTGGGATTTGACATTGAATGGAAACCCACTTTCAAAAGAGGTAGGTATATAACCCTCCCAGTTTGGATCTGTAAATTTTGTAATATTGTTTTCTAATATTGCCTGAGCAATTTAAGCCTCCATTCTAATGCAAATATCCAAGAATCTTGAGAATTCTGTCCATGTATGTTAAGTCCTTGGTGTTTAGGTTTTACTTGAATTCTTCTATGATAGCTCAATAACTACTGGTTTGAAATTTTAATTCTTTGTATTGTCAATTATTGAACTTCTAATCACACAAAGCCATAAGTCAAATCCCTTAAGCATTTGGAAATCCTTGTGAAGGCAAGGTTTTCATAATCATATCAGGTGCCGCATATCCTTTGATCTAGTCCAAGACAGATACTAATCTCACAGAAAGCTCTCATTTCTGGGATGTTCCTCCAGTCCAAGTGCGTCTTTTCTCTTGCTGATGTGTGGATGAGTACTTGGAAATCATTCCCTTAATGGCTTTTTCCGTGAAGATAATGCAAAATTCCCTCTTGAAAATTTGACAGAAAGATACTCCCCGCGACAAAGATAATAGACAGAGCTTAATAGCTTACAGTATCACCCTCTAAAATTGTTCATACTGGTATCAAAATGGTATTTTTTTTAACACATTCAGAACCAATGGAATTTATACTAATATTTACTAGAGTAGGCACAAGAAATTTTAATTTCTTTACTGCAATAGCTCATGGTATTAGGTTCAGGATGATCCTGATTATGTTTTTCCTTTTCTTTCTTTATTGAAAAAAGTAACTCTGGAAAGTTTTATTTGTATTTAAAACTTTTGGTGCCGAAATTTGAGAATTTATTTTTTCTAGTCTGCAAATGGTGTTGATGGTAGAGGAACAGTAACTTCTACACAATGGTGTTTGCCATTTAATTTTGAAAAATGAAAAGATTTTTGAATTTCAAGTATATCATACTAGTATGTTGGACTTCTTGGTTACATGCTGTATTTTCACAGTTAATACATCAAAGTATAGGGTGTTGCTACTTGCTAGTTGGTTATTAGCTTCTCCATGCAGGTGTTGCCCCTGGGAAAGCGGCTGTTATGCAGATATGTGGGGAGATGAACCGTTGTTATGTCTTCCACATATTCCATTCTGGAATCCCTCAAAATCTGCAGACACTTCTAGGGAATTCTGCTACTGTGAAGGTTAGCATATTTTCATATTTTCTGAAATTTATTGTAAAATGTTTTTTTTTTTTTTTGGTCCATTCTACATAATTTCTGATGCTATTAACATGTACAGGTGGGAGTAAGCATCGCGGGTGATGCTCATAAGGTTTTTCTAGATCATAATGTACCTGTTAGAAATGTGGATGATCTATCTGCGCTAGCCAATCTAAAGATTGGTGGAGTTCCCAAAAATTGGAGTCTAGCATCATTGACAGAAACACTCCTTTGCAAACAGGTAATTTGGTGCCCTCATAATGAATGCATTTGATGCTACTTGTGGTTATATTGTTATTCAAACCCTTGAGCTAAAAAGTAATGAATGGTGATGGCATCTGCTTTGCCTGTTGTACTTTTTGCCATTTTCCAAATGTAGTATGAATACTGTTGCCTTCTTGTCTCCTTTCATTGCGCATGGAGGTTGACACTTATGTTTTTCTAAGTGTTAATTGGTATTGAAATTGCATGTGGATCACATCAAGGCATTAATTGAATCTGAACAGTGTATTGGCTTAAGTGGGAGCTTGTTTTGCAATATTGCATCCAATTTGTGTTTCCAAATATGCAACTTGCTTATAGATGGTGTATCCTAGTACAAGTGTCTGATCTGCTGGGTATTCTGTATCATATGCAATATCATTTGGGAAATAAAGCTTACAACCTCCATCAGTACCATCACCTATATTTTTTCATTTATTTCCTACTAAAAGATCTTGCTTATCTTATTTTGTTTTATCCAGTGCTTCAGTTTTCTTTTGTTTACCTGATGTTAGCCCTGAATATTATCTCTTAGTGTGTGATTCAATTGAATGTTTTGGACTTCTGTAGCTCCCTAAGCCAAACCATATAAGATTGGGAAATTGGGAGACTCCAGTTTTATCAAAAGAACACCTAAATTATGCTGCCACAGATGCTTTTGTTTCATGGCACCTATATCAGGTAAATGAGAACTGTTATTCTTGGTGCATCTTTTTTTTTTTTTTTTTTTTTTTTTTTTTTTCAGTTTCATAAGTTCATTACTGCTCTCTCTTATCTTCCCTTTTGAAACATCTTTTCATCTTCATTATAGGCGTTGAAGAGCCTTCCTGAGGCTGTTGATAATAAGAGCAACGAACCAGAGCATGTGAGCAGTGAGTGAGATGTGATTGTCAACTATTGTTTGAATAGTAGTGGCGGCTGTAACATCAGTTACATCTGGACTATTAAATTTCGCGCTTATCTGGTCCAGTCCAAGTGTCCAACCATCTTGCTTGATGCTGTTATATATCCATTTGCTCTAGCCAAACCTTTTCTTATCCAGAGGCACAAGTCACTGCTAATGAGGTACTTTTAGCTAGTGCAGTGCATCCTGAACCTTATTGGAGGAGTGTTATCAGCTTCTCAGTCTGGATCATATTACTGAATTAGTTCATAGCTATTCGTTTGGTTAAAGTTATTCTTCTGTGATAAGAAATGGTGTTCTTTGGTTTTTACCCATCTTTCTCTCTTGAAATCAATGTTGAGAAATTGAGTCTTTTCTTCTATGCTGTGATATGTTACTGAATTTGCTGCCCCCTGCAAAAAGATGGATTGTGTATCTATTTTAAATTGAAAATTTAAAGTTTTATGCATTTGAAAACTATTTTCTTTTGGTTTATAAATTTCTAAATATTTAATTTTGGATTAATCTTAAATGTTAAGTGTTAAAATGTTGGTTTTTTTTTTTTTTTTAAATGACAAATAGAGAAAATTTTATTAAATCAAACGAGCAATATAATCCGGAATAACAGAAATTCAACTAAACAAACCAGTTTGCGAATGAACCGTTCTAGGCAAAGTATGAACACATTTAAAAGCACTAATAACACATCCTGCATAAGATAGATCAATTCTATAAAATTTAATTTGATTAAATTAAAGCAAAAATGTGGTTTTTTGTCTTTTTTTTTTTTTTTAAAGAGTATTATTAATCCGTATTATGTCTGATGAAATTAATCGTTTGCTTTATATCGATGATTCGATGAACCACCATTTAGACAAATTCGATCTTTCACATAGCAAAACCCAAAACCCAAAACCCAAAACCCCTGTGCACTCTTCTTCCTCGCTCAGCACGTTCCCGTTTTCCCTCTCAATCATATTACTAAGTTGAGTCGCAACAAAGGAGATGAGTGCCCCTGAACATCTTCCTCAAGTAGACCTTGATGATGATGATAAAAAAGAAATCAAGAATCTCCAAATGGGCATTTCTGAAACCCGGCAAGATTCAGACTGTCACGCCATCAACGACACCTTTCGGCAAACGATTGCGGATAATCTTGAAGGTGCCGCTTCTGAAATAGGCAACGGTAATAACGGGGCTTCAAAGGAGAAGAAAAGGAACAAGCCAAGCCGAAAGGGCAGAGCTGCCGTTGTTGAGGAGGTCCGGCAAGACTGCGGCAAGTTGACGAAAGAAGATAAGAAGGGTTTTTACTCTAGGAAGGAGTTGGAGGCTATGAGGTTTGTGAGTCTAGAAGAGCAGAAGAAGAAATGGATCGAGGTGTACTGTGGCCTAGGGGCCGATGTGCAGAAGGAGTATGATGGCCTCCTTCGCTCCATTCATCAGAAGCAGCCTCTCGTGGACTTCGATCCTCGGAGAAAGTCCGGGAAGGCCCGCCATGTCTCATTTGGTATAATTTCTTCTGCTCTGATTGCTCTCCCACAATGATTTATCTTATTTTTGTTCCTCTTGTATGGTTAATTGGTCTTTCTTGTGAATTCTACATTCATTGATATACTGTTTTGCTTAGTATGTATGTCTGTAAATCATTAGCTCTTTTCAATTAAATCCTGGTATCATTGATGAAATTGTATGTAAAGGCATGTGGTGCAGCATTCTATTGTGAATTGAGTTGAAATGAAATGTATATTTATATTTTTTGCAACCATATATACCGGGGTTTGTGGTCAGTGTTACTTGGGTGTGTTTATCTTTTAAGTTGCTGAATATGTATATATATAGCTAAATACATTATGCCTCGTAGGTGATGATAGTAATTCATTACTCTTGGAGGGTCAGAATCCTGCTTTGGGTTGTGCCACGAGCAGTGAAAATGATGACTCGATTGTGGAAAGAGAAGGCAGTGACTATGATGATAGTGATGAGGATTATAGTAGCATCCGGAAGCCTGCCTTTTTTGTTACAGGAGAACCCAATTTTGATTCTGTTCATCCTGAAGACGGATTAGAATATCTCAGGCGTGTAAGGTACATATTCATCACAACCGTATCTCTTTCTGGCTGTTAGAGAATGAACTTGTTCCTCATGAGTCATGTGAAAAGTATTTGATGTATCTATTAACTGATGGATCACGGATGCATGGACTTTGTTGTACTTATGGTCTTGATCATAGGTGGGAAGCAGAACGTTTGCCAAATGTGAAGGTTGCCAAGGTTGAAAGAAGTAAAGTAAACAAAGAACAGAGTGTTTATATGCCCCAAATTCCCGATATTGCAACTTGCCCAGAGCACTTGCTACCCCTTAAAGAGTGGGAGGATGAGTTCCTTGCTGATTTCTCAAAGTTGAGACAGGTATTTCTCTCTCTCTCTCTCTCTCTCTCTCTCTCTCTCTCTCTCCCTCCGTTTAAATGAATCAATCCTTTTAGCTCTTAAGAAAGATTTATGCCTTTCTGGAATCTCGAAGTTGGGTGATTCAAAATATGTATCGTGCTTGACTGATTCTGCTGCAAGTCTGCAGTTTACTTTGTTTAGACAAAATGACATATTTTACAGGAACTAAGGAGATGCTTGTCTCAACAAAATCTGGATAGAGACTGTGTTGAGCATATAACCATTAATGTGCAATCCAACTATCAGCTTAGGCTTTTAGTTGAGATGGAGCACATGCTTCAATTGACTGTAATATTCAATGATTTATTTAGTACTGTCATTTCTTGTGGTGCTTAAATGTACTGAGTCTGCGATCATCTTTTCAGGCTTTATCACAACTAGAGAGTTCTGGCATTCAAATTTCTAGTCAACCACCCCTAGTTTCTATTGTTCACCAGGAACAGTCGTCACATCAACTCAGCAACAGCATCATTCTTGAGGATTTTGATAGCTTAACATCTGGAGACGATTGTAGCCAATCTGATGCGGGTGATGAGTACACTCCCGAAAATTCCTGCCCTACACTGTCAGTTATTTCAGGGATGGAACCAGTGACTCGAGTATCATTGCTTAGAAAGCGGATAACCGCCCTGGAAAGCACAGACGCACTTTCACGGGATGACTGCTTGTGGCTATTTGCTTTATGTGCAGCGGTTGATTCTCCACTCGATGCTGACACCTCCGCATCGCTTAGATCTTTACTCAGAAAATGCGCAAGCTTGCGAGCTGAAAAAACAAGCGTGAATGATGAAGTTATTATGCTCAATGTTTTGGCAACAATATCTGGTAGATACTTTGGGCAGGCTGGAAACTGAGTCTGTTGGCACTTGGAAAACATTTGACTTGTTTAACATGTGCAATTTTCTTTCTCAGTCCTGCCAAGTTTACATGCAATAGTTGTGTTATTTTCTAGCCAAACACGGTCTTTCTGGTGTTCAGATTTTAGCAAAGTTCACAGCTGAATGGGTCTAGGACTGTGGTGTAAGACAACTGAATTCACAATATTTTGAACAATTGAGTGTTTAAGGGGTATTTAATTCAAATATAAGAATGACAATGATAATTAGAATCAAATACAGTAATGCCGTAATAAGTTTAACTACAATGATTTTTTTTTTATTTTTTTATTTTATAATAAATAAGAGTTGCAAACAAATATGATATTAAGTATCAAATCTATAGTATGATACAAATGTTTTTAACAAAAGTAATTTAAATTTGTTCAAATTAAAAAATGTGTTCAAATGCTATAATATGTAATAATTGAAGGACAAAAAAAAAAGGTTTTTCTTTGTTATATTAAAAGTGAAGGAAAATTAATATATACGACTCAAAAATGGGAAAAAAAAATTTTATTGCTTATGCTAAATTTTAAATGTAAGTATCATGATATTATTAAATTATTAGTATTTTTCCGTGTGTTGCACAATAAATGTTATATTTATTATATTTTGTGTTGTTTCTTTATTTATACTTTCTCTATACCATATAGATGGTGAGGTGCTAGTTCATTTGATGCTACCCAGCTTATCTTTGTAGTTAAAATGAAATAATTACTCTTGTAGGCGTCAACTTACTGTTAAAACACAACAATTCAAAAAAAAAAAAACCACTAAAGAAGGTAAAGATAACATTGGAAACATACCATGCAAATCCAAAAAAAATTCTTTAATCAGATCCTCCAATGAATGAATAGATAAATAATAAAACATAAAAATTTAAAAAACAAATAAATCTGGAAATCTATTTTTCATAAAATTAGGGAAAAAAATATTCAAAACCTAAACTATACCGTTTTGCAAGAGGCAGATGGGCGGGAACTTTTTCTGATTTTTAATTACCAATAGGATAGAGGAAGGAAGAGGATAGAGGATTAATTTAAACTGGAGTGAAACAATTCGTAAATTAGAAACAACTCTACATTCCGGTCGATTTCGATTTCCACATCAAGGTAAAATGGGCTGTATTTTTGTTTAATCCTTTTAGTTTATTTGCTCTCTGTAATTTCGATATCTTCCGCCTCCCATTTTATGATCTTGACTTTATATGCATCTTTGGTTATTTGGAATGCACAATAAATTGCACAAATTCGCTTGGATTGATTTAACTGATTTTTTTTTTTATTTTTTTTTATTTTTTTATTTTTTTATTTTTTGGGTGAAAAAAATGAATGAATTAGTTATGAGCCGGGCCAGGCTGCCAAAACTAGCATTTAGAGGCCGTGTTATATACAGTAGAACCAAGGACGAGGTTGAGAAATCCGCAGCGGAGCTGCTCCATGTTATTGAAGAGAAGACAAGACAAGAGGAATCAGTTGCTCTCGGGTTTGATACTGAATGGAAACCTAGTTTTGTGAAAGGTGCTATTATGTTGTCCTTTTGTTACATTGATGCTAAATTTTGCTTGCCAAATTTTTACCAATCACTGAAGAGCTTTACAGTTTATGTGCTGGATTGGGATGTTTTGGAAGGTTGTTATTTTTTTATTAAAGCTGTGTGGCCAATAGTTCGGTGTGATTATGCTGAAAGTTACATCTTCCTGACTTTAAGCTGTCAAGGTTTTGTTTCAGAGCTAAAAACAGATAGAAAGTGTGGCTCAAGTGCCAACCTTAACTACAAAGGGAATGCTAGTAGAATCTTTCATTTTGCATATAATCTAGTTCATTTATTCAAATAGTGATTTAAATCTGAACAGTGAAGTGCTCAAATTATGCTTTAAACCTGGTTAACAACACTTTATGCTTCCAAAATGACATGGTATGGACGTATAGTGACTGTGTATTTGCAACTTTCCTATTGGCTTGGAATTACGATTTGGACTAATGGCATTGCAATATGCATTTAACATTTCTAACCACTCCATTCGTTATTAAGTTCTAATAATTCCTTTTTGGATTGATGAATATGTAGGCCATTGGCAATGGAACCCTGTGTACAAACATTTAATTTAGGGTAAACAGTTCGCAATGATGAAAATTCATTTATCTGTTGAACCTATACTTAGTAAACGGGTTAATGTTTCTGTTGTGTTTGTGCGTTTCCTACTTTTTAACATGGGTGAGATGATAGATGATTATGAAGGTTGGCTTTTGAGCTAGCTTTTAATTTAATTGGCACACGTAGCATGGTGTACCAGGCTCATAATATACCAATAAGAATAAAGTGTGTGCTTGTTTAGTGGTTGACTGTTTACTTTGTGTAATTTTTCTCTCGTTTCAGCATTATTGAAGTGTAGTTTGTGCTAGTCTATTATGGATGAATAGCTGCTTCTGTGCAGGTGTTTCACCTGGGAAGGCTGCTGTTATTCAGATATGCGGAGACATGGACAATTGTTATGTTTTTCATATCTTTCATTCTGGAATCTCTCAGAGTCTACAATTGCTTCTTGAGAACTCCACACCGAAGGTCCAAAGATTAACTTTTGTATAAATTTTAATGAATTTCCTGTAAATACATACTGCACTTGTTATTATTTTCAGTTCTTATACATGATTCATGTAATTATTGTGCTATAAATGTGTAGGTTGGAGCAGGTATTGCATATGATGGTGGCAAGGTTTTCAAAGATCATAATGTACGTCTAAAAGGTTTGAAAGATCTGTCTGCACTTGCAAACCAAAAGCTTCATGGAGGTCCTAGGAAATGGGGTTTAGCATCACTAACTGAAAAACTCCTCTACAAAAAGGTTATTTAGAACTCGTTTTGGAATATGGCATCTATCATTGTGGTTCAAGGCCTCCATCTTTTTTCAGAGAAATAACCTGCACACCGACATATTGTGTATGATCTAATGCAATGCCATTTAAGACTGAAAAGCCTATAGCCTCCATTCTGGGGCTATGACTTGTCACATGCCTAATCCTGCCAAAAAATGTTGCTAAAATTGTTGAACCCAGTGCTTCTTTGTTTTAGATTTTGACTTCCTGATTTTAGGGCACCTTATTTTTCAGTCAGATTCAATTGAACATTTTTTATGCTTGCAGCTTGCCAAGGGGAACTATATCAGATTGGGAGATTGGGAGACTACAAGTTTATCAAAAGAACAACTTAATTATGCTGCCACAGATGCTTATACTTCATGGCAACTATATCATGTAACTGAGAACTCTCCTACTTGATCCATATATTTACCTTATGTACATATTATCTTTTTGTTGCTGCAACTATTTATTTATCGTTGCTGCAGGAACTAAAGAAGCTTCCTGATGTTGATAAAGAAAGCAATTAGGGCAGACAATGACCTTAGCTTGCTGCAACTTTGGTAGCAATTATTGCATTAATGAAAATAAGTGGGAAATATCTTTTTGTGTTGTAGCGCAATTTTCACACATTCAAGTGCGCACTTGCTGAAGCAATTGGGGTTAGGGAGGCTCTCAAATGGTTGAAGAGCATGAATACTGACAGGGTCCAAGTAGAAATGGATGCTCCACTGGTGAGCTGGAAGGATTAAACAACAGCGACATAAACTCTTCTTTTGACCTCATCATTAATGATATTAAGAAACTAGCATCTTACTTGTTAGCGACATGCTAATACAACTGCCCATTTGTTAGCCAGGGAAGCGGTTGCATGGAATGGTTTTCCATTCTTTTTAATTATCTTCTTGATGTTGTGAACTTTGATATGAATTAATGAATTTAAATGTTTCTCAAAAAAGAAAAATAAAGTGCACTTTCAAGTCAGAGATGTTCTTGTCGCCACTAACATAGTGTACCATCCTTGATGAGGCACTTCAGCTACTGCACTTTCTCAACAAGTAATCTCTGTCACTTTCACATCTCTTCAATCTGCTCATATATGACACAAGTAGCTGTTCAATACTTGGGTAATTATTTTTACAGCCATTCTGATGGTAGATGAAGCCATCAAGGTGGTCGGGTGACTGTTTTGCTGGAGCAGAGGTTTGCTGCTTATTCCACACACCATGTTTAGAGGTACGGACTATGAATTGTACATAGACAGATAGCATGACTTCATTTCATTTAATGCAATTTGGATTGTTCTTGCAAGCATGGGTTTCCAGTTTCCTGAATCTCTTAGCTACAAAAACACAGTTGATTGATTGTTGAGTTGGCATGCATGCTTTTACTCTCATCTTTTAGCTAAAATCAAATGTGACCGACTTTGGGAGGAGAATTAAAGTTGGTGAACTTTGACTTAAGAAGCCCTTCCATGTGGTGTGGGCCTTTGCCCTTCATATTGTCTCATTCAATTATAGATACTTACATGGTCCACACACTTGTGTGGACTATACTATCAAATAATGTACATTTAGTACACAACTAATATATTTTTAGTATATTAAAAATGTACATTATATTAAAAAAAAAGTACATTATTTTGTATAATATACATTCAGTACACAAATAATGTACTTTTAGTGTATTAAAAATGTACTTTTTGTTATAATCTACATAACACTATGTGGACCATAATTTGCCCCATACTCAGCTCCCCACCACCGCTAACATGTGATTCAAGTGGAAAGAATTTTATTCTTCTTTAATAATGTCTCAAATTCAAACATTATAAATGAAACAATGTGTTATTAGAATTTCAACCATTGTTGATTACGGGTTTTCCCATAGTCTCCATTTGTTTGTTCAACTAACCTTGAGGCCACTTCTTTTTTTTTTTTTTTTTTTTTTTTTTTTTTTTTTAATCTTGTTAGTTCAATGTGGGGTCTAAATTTTATGTAATTGCCCTTCATTTTCCTTTGTATGGAAAAAAATTATTGAGCACTTAATGAGGTGATTGAGACTGACTAGGGAGTCCATGTGTGAGGGTATGGGGTGCCATTTGCAAATTGACAAAACAAAATATGACACTATTAAATCCAAGTGATTATGGACTATGCGTTTGGCCATACCTTATAGTAAATTACAACTAACAGTCGATCTTAATTGCTAATTCCACACAGCATTAATTATGTTTTCTTTTTAGCTTTTTAATAATTGATTTTAAACATTTTTGTAACGTAAGTTGAATTGTTAATTGAGGTCTTTAAAAAAAAATTCAAACTCTCAAGTCTCAAACCTTGAAAGCTGAATCTATTACCGTAGATTATATGAATTGCCAAATACTTCTCCCAAAAGGTTGAATCCCCAACTTCAAGGGTCTTACACCCCGATTCGACAAATCATTTAAGATGATATAAATTACGGTGACTCAATGGCTCAGCAGACAGAATTAAATGCCGGTGAGCATAAAAGATTTGTTCACTTTGAACATAATTTCCACACAGTCGCTGGCGAGGTTTGAACCTTGATCTCTTTTCTCAAATAGTGCTTTGCAGACATGAATTGCCAAATACTATAGGCATATTTGCCTGTACAACTTTAAAACTACTATTTCAAGTATTATTATATTTTTACAAAAGTCTAAACACTGCTGGTTTTGAGAGTTTCGTATGATGTTTTTAAACACAATTTTGTATCTTCTGACGACTGACTAGAGCGTTTTTTTTAAATTTAAAAAACAATTATAATGAATTGTGTAAGGAATAATAAAAAAAGAAAAAGAAAAAGAGAGTAGTAGTTATTGAATGACAGGAAAGCCCCTGAGATTGCAGGAAAGTTCTTGTGCCGACATTTTATTGTGAGAAAACGTGTCAGTGAAAACAGAAATGAAAAAGAGACAAAATAGGGACGTCCAGTCGTATTTGACGAAATCCAACAATCGCTTGTCGTTTCTCACTTTTTACCGTTGAAAACGACACTCCTCATTGCGGCTATTTATCGTCTTCATCATCATCTCGCTGCCTATAATAACGTTCCAACCATTCTGCTGTAAAAAATTTGAAAATATCTATTTTTGTTCATTGAGATCAGTATCAATCATATCAAATATAATTATATTTAGCATATATAGTTACGTCAAATATTTTTTTTGAAAAAAAAAAAAAAATACTCATAGCTGTATTTATTACCATTGACATCCTAAAAAAATTATTTTGATTTAGCTCTCAAATTTTTATATATATTTATTTAAATTTCGTTGTGTCTAGTTTTATTATTTATTAATTAATAAGTCAGCAAACTATATAGTTCATGAACTGGTCAAGGCAGGGAGACTCTGGCTAATGCATTAATTTGAGAATCTGAACCCCTACGTGTTTCACCATCTCGTCGATTAATAATATTTCTTTTTTGTTTGCTTTCAATCTATTTGAAAGTTATGTTGGGTATTTTTCTTGGTTTGTTTAGCATTTCTATAGCGATTTTCTATTTTATGAACATTAATTTGTTAGATGATGGTCATGAAGAGTAATGGTTCGATTGCGTTAATGAAAATCAAAAGTTAATATCATATGAGATCTTTTAAGTATAGTGATTTTACAATGTTTAGTTCTAAACTTTCAATTTGACCATATTTGGTCTCTCAACTTTCAAATTGTTACAAGTTAACCACCCATGGTCCTTCAACTTTCAAAATTAACCCGTCATAGTCTTCCTAGCTAGAAGGCCACGATTAGTTAAAATTTGATAGTTGAAAGACCATGAGTGGTTAAATTAGACCACGGATAGTAATAATTTGAAAGTTGAGTAAACGTGGCAAAATTACTATACTTAGACATTAACTCAAATTTTATCGGATTGTTTATTAGTTATTTAAGGAGTACTATTTGTTAAACATGTGGCTTGAGTTAGTCTTCAATTAGTTTGTTATTCTCTTTTCTTTAGGCTTCAGTTGTGCTTTGTTGTAACTTTTTCAGTATAGCCCTATTTAAACATTCTCTGTAACTCTTCGTTAATGCAAGTGATTTTACTTTCATACTATTTAGTCATAAACTTGTATTTGTACGCATTAATGGGTAATATAATTGTAAAGATATAGTAACACGTAATATATTATGGTTTCTAGTTAGAGAAATAAAAAGAGGAGAAGAAAATAAGAAAAGTAGAGATTAACAAAAGGGAAACCCAAAAAAGAGAACAAACTATGGTATTATGTACAGACAATCTGCGGTCGATTCAATCATGTTCATGTAGGTTTCAATCACAGACGGACTTGCATCGCAAAATATAGTAGAAAATACAAGCAATACGTCCATTTGGAATCTTATGTATTTTGGCTTTCAACTTCTAATTAATTAGTTCTCAAAAAAAAAACTTTTAATTAATTAAATATATTATTATATCATCACCAAAATATGTTAATTGCATGTAATAATCTAAATGTCATTCTGGATCAAAATCTAATTAGTTCATGTATAATTTGTCTAATAGATGACTACGTAAGTCATCACCAGGGCTGGCCCTGATCATGTGCGGCTAGGACAACGGCACAGGCTGTGGGGGGCAAATGTGGATACACGAATAATTCAGGGATGGAAAAGTGCTATAAGTATATAACTTATGGGGAAAAAATGTCATTTTCCCTTTAAGATTATGTGCTTGTAAATAAATTGAAGGCACATAATGGAGGTGTTTGGTAAATAGCTGGTTGGCTGATTGAGTTAGTGGGTTTGACTAGTTGATATCAGACTGATTGTAGAAAAATGTCTAGTAGATTACTTGTTAGCTGATTACATACAAAATGACTTTCACAAAAAATTGATCTAAAAATTTACTTTGAGCAGCTTTTTAAATTTTAGCATTTTAGAATGAGTAAAAAACTTATACAAAAAAATTAATTAATCAAACACTCATTTAAAAGAAAAAAAAAAAGAAAAAAAAAAAAAAACAGAATAGTTTCAATTTGTATTGATAACCCTCTGACGCCCTCCTCCCCCTCCTCCACTTATACAGTGTTGCAAGTTGGATGCATGGCCCTACAGACCATTTAAATTCCCTGACATTTTCCTTTGTTTTTTCTCTGTAAAGAAATCAGGCCGTACAATGTTCATTGGCCCTTGCATTGCCCTCACTTTTCGAGAAACCAAACTGATCCAACAACAAATGAATAAAGATAGGTAGGTAGTAGTAGTGAAACATGAACAAGAGGATCGACATATATACATGCACTCACCAACACAATAGATTTTGTGTTGTTCTGTAACGATGAAGACAAACACGTAAAATTTCCTATGAAACTTCGCACTTACAACGTTAATCATCATTACATACTACTGTAAAAATTAATTTACTTATCGCATAAACAGTTCAGTTAGTCACAATGATAAGATTTGAAAATAATAACTCGAAATCGAGTCTCATCACCCGTAACAGTGTTTTACAACTGAGTTACTATAATTTACATCTTCCCATATATTTTGTCGGGCATTTAGAAAAAAGTAATTAACAATAATAAACGACGGAGAGCAATAATTATAGGATTTCCTTTGGACCAATCTTAGAAATGGGAATCATTCTAAATCATAGTATTATAGTGTAAAGCATACTTAGCTTGGAATTACAGAACCATGTGCACTGCAATTTGTCCTCTTCTTTTTTTTTTCTTTTTTTTTTTTTTTAAAAAAAAATAATTCTTTGCGGTTATATATCACTTTTAAAATTTCTGATGTATATCACCATCACAAGTGTAATAATGTTGCTTTTCCACAAAGATGTTGTTAATTTAATTTGGAGATAAGCTAAGAATTGATTACAAATATAGTAATTTAATAGTATAAAGTGTTTGATTTGAATTTAGATATATAATTGAATAATAATACATTTCATCTCAATTAAAAACTTCTTTTTTTTTTTTTTAAGATGAAAATTCATAGTCACTATCCAATAATTTGTACTTAATAGATTTCATCTTGTGACAATAATTGCACTAGCTTAAGCCAATTCAAATCAAGAAGGATAATAAGCCATTCGTTTTCACTGTGATTCATTTTTATGTTATATATATATATATATATATATATATATATATATATATATATATATATATAATAGTGTATAATTAAGTATTATGATAATAATGATAGTGATGATGTTGTTCCAATTGCTCCACAACATTACCTTAACCTCTTATATTGTTTACACCCACAACTAAATTGATTGCTTTGATTAAACATGAATTACGACAAACTACTTTTGGACTCACTCTAATTCTCACTTCTCATATGTACATGTGTAGTCTCTCACATGCTTGCTTACATACACATACACACATATACAGCTGGCACTTTGCCAGCCATTATATATATGTATATGCGCATGTATATGTACGTGTATATATTGGGAAATATTTTGCTACGGAGTATTATATAATGTCGGCATCTTACAAAGAAAAGAGTAATTTTGAAAGAAATGATCATTTATTTTGTTTATATTTCAATCACCTAATTTAATTAAAATATATATACTCCATCATTTAATTTAAACTATTTGTAAGAAATAGCGAAATATATAAGAGGTAATGAAAATTATGTGCGAGAAAGGGAATAGAAACGGAATATGACAATTCAAATTTAATGTTTTCCATGTGCCTCTTTATCAAAAAATAGGAATATATATTTTTTCCTTTTTATCTTAGGCAAGCTAATATGAATATATGATCAAATACCCCCACCACACACATATACATCAATATATATATATATATATATATATATATATATATATATATATATATGTATGTATGTATGTATGTATGTATGCATGTATGTGTGTGTTCTTCAATTCTCCCCAGAAAATTACTAAGACGAGTGAAGTGGAGTGGTATTGTGATTTTAAAAGTATAAAGAAAAGTTATATGTTATTCAATTTGCTGTTATTGTTTTATGTTTAGTACGTAAAATTATAATTCTTTTAATAAATTAAGAAATATATATGATAAAGCATAATGTAAATTAAAGTGCTTAAACTTTTCTATAAATTATTTATTTATATTTTAAACTCAATATGATTTGCCAAGACCTTGTGGTCTAGTAACATCTAGATTGGACTCTATGGGAGGTTTGAGTGGTATTGTGATTTTAGAAGTATAAAGAAAAGTTATATGTTATTCAATTTGCAGTTATTGCTTTATGTTTAGTACGTAAAATTATAATTCTTTTAATAAATTAAGAAATATATATGATAAAGCATAATGTAAATTAAAGTGCTTAAACTTTTCTATAAATTGTTTATTTATATTTTAAACTCAATATGATTTGTCAAGACCTTGTGGTCTAGTAACATCTAGATTAGACTCTATGGGAGGTTGGATGAACAGATACTATATTGTATATAGAGTCAAGTAGCATTCAAATTAAAAAAAAAACTCAATATGATTTCTTTTTATTAATATAATAACAATATAGCATCGATATGATACTATTGATCTCATATACACATAAATTGCTAAAATCATATGTCTTCAATTAAATAATAATAATAATATATTTTTTAAGGCCATCCAACCGACACCAGCCCGGATTCATGTGTCGTAATTTTCTTTTAAGCATCCCTATATATAATCCTCTCTACACTCTTCTTTCTTAGGGGAGGCTGACAAGAAAAAAGCTTCCCTGTAAAATTAATTAATAATAGAGGTTTCCATTATGCAATACTATCCGGCAATGGCGTCGCCGCCGGACACGAGCAAAACCTCCAAGCTGGAGCGCTACAACAGCTACCTGAGGAAAGTCAACAGCACAAAACTCATCGCCGCTTCTTCTAAACTCCTCTTTAGAGTCACTCTATTGATTGCGTTACTCCTTATTTTCTTCTTCACCATCAACTACCCTCCGGTTGCTGATAGCTCCGGCAACCGCGCCACCGCTCACGCCACCAACCACTTGCTCTCCTCCGCCTTCTACGGCGGGGGAGCGTCCTGGGAGAAGCACGTCCGCCTCTCGTCCACTCCCCGCACCACAAACGGCATCTCGGTTCTGGTCACCGGCGCGGCCGGGTTCGTTGGGTCCCACTGCTCACTCGCGCTGAAGAAACGCGGCGACGGGGTTCTAGGGCTGGATAATTTTAACTCTTACTATGATCCTTCCCTGAAGCGCGCTCGCCAGAAGCTTCTGGAGAAGCACCAGATCTTCATCGTGGAAGGGGACCTCAACGACGCCGAGCTTCTGAGGAAGCTTTTCGACATTGTGCCGTTCAGCCACGTGCTCCACCTCGCCGCGCAGGCCGGCGTGAGATACGCCATGCAGAATCCTCTCTCTTACGTCAGCTCCAACGTCGCCGGATTCGTGAACCTTCTCGAAGTTTCCAAAGCCGCCGACCCTCAGCCGGCGATAGTCTGGGCGTCATCCAGCTCCGTTTACGGCCTCAACACCGACGTCCCGTTTTCCGAACACCACCGGACCGATCAGCCCGCGAGCCTCTACGCCGCCACCAAAAAAGCCGGCGAAGAAATCGCCCACACGTATAACCACATTTACGGCCTCTCCTTAACCGGGCTGAGATTCTTCACCGTGTACGGCCCCTGGGGGCGGCCGGACATGGCGTACTTCTTCTTCACCAAGGATATGATTCAGGGGAAGCCGATCAATGTGTACGTGACGCAGGAGGACAAGGAGGTGGCGCGTGACTTCACCTACATCGACGACGTGGTGAAGGGGTGCCTGGGGGCGCTGGACACGGCGGAGAAGAGCACCGGCAGCGGCGGAAAGAAGAAGGGGCCGGCGCAGTTGAGGGTGTACAACCTGGGTAACACGTCGCCAGTGTCGGTGAGGAAGCTAGTGGCAATTCTAGAAAATTTGCTCAACATCAAGGCTAAAAAGAACGTTGTAAAGATGCCCCGAAACGGCGACGTTCCGTACACCCACGCTAACGTGAGCCTTGCCTACAGGGACTTCGGCTACAAACCAACCACGGACTTGTCAAGTGGATTGAGAAAGTTCGTCAAGTGGTACGTTAGTTATTACGGTATTCAATCAAGGGTAAAAAAGGAATTAGACGGCACCCAGGAGTAGGCAATGAAGTGGGGTTGGGGGGTGGGGTTTTTTTTTTTTTTTTTTTTCAAAATTACTTTTCCCACTTATATTTTCTTTTAATTATTGTTGATGTATTTTGATCATTTAAGCATATATATTTATTTATGTAACAAAATGAAAAGAGAGGTAATTATTGATAAAGTAATAAGAATGAGGGTGGAAATGACAATTGTAGATCTATGGAGTAGGGGTGCAATAATGTGATATAGCCATAATGACGGGGTGCTATCATAATTAAAGAAAAGTTTGCATTTCTGTACAAAAATATAATGCAGATCAACCTCTCGTGTACCAATCAAGATATTGTAGTTTTTGTTGGATTCTTGCCTTCTTGGAACACCAATAGTAATTACAACAAGAATCTTTTCAATACAATATCATGTTTTAGTTTATTTATGTTCAAAAAATATTACCAAGTTGTACAACTATTAAATTTCAAAACTTTTAATATCTATTAATTTTTTATGATGTCGTTACATCAATACTGCTAATAGTAGACAGTACAATCACATATGATATACTTGATTGTTTCAAGTATAATTAGTATTAATGTTGATACTATCTGATATAATTAAGCATAGAGTAACTATGGTCCCTCGACTATTAGGATTTTACCAATTTGATTTTCAACTATCAAAGTTGTTCAATTTAGTCCCTAACTATACAATTTGGACCTAAAATGGTTCATCGGCTATTAGGATTCCACCACTTTGGTCATCAACTACCAAAGTTGTTCAATTTAATCCTCAACTATGCAAATGTTAACCTAAAATGTAAGTTTAGTGTGGATTTGGGGATCTTTTTGGAGATTCGATAACCAAAATTGTGAAATCCTAATAGTCGATGACCAAATTGGTGAAATCATAATAGTCGAGGACAATTTTAGGTAAAAATTACATAATTAGGGAGTAAATTGAGAAACTTTGGTAGTCGATGATCAGAATGGTAAAATTCTAATAGTCGGTGATGGACCATTTTAAGTAAAAATTGCATAGTTAAGAACTAAATTAAGCAACTTTAGTAGTCAATGACCAAATTAGTGAAATCATAATAGTCAAAGGATGAAATTGGGTATTAACTCATTAAGCATATTTGTTGGAGTATTAGAACTTTTTTTTTTTTTTGAAATAGTTGGAGTATTAGAACTTATATGATCAATACAGTAAATTTTTTTAATTTATTTGTAAATGATATAAAGTGGTATTACAACACGGTTTTTTAAAGCTAGGGTAATTACATTTTGTCGGTATGTGCAATATAATGTCCTTGCATAATCATGTAGATATATACTTATCTTAAAGCAACAAATGGAGCAATGTGTCACTCATAATGAAAGAAATTAAAGATAAGGGGTGTGGGACAAATGGACAATCAAAAACAGTATTATAATCACATGTCGATGTGTAGTGTGTACACTTTGAAAACATGATTTGTAGAGACTGCAATATATTACAAATGTCATGTTATAATTAATTTCATATAATTAATTAAGCAAAAGATGTAACCTGCCAATGGTTATCGTACTATATAGTATACACTAATGCTTTCTGCTTTCCTATATTATTATGTTATGAAGCTAACAATCACATGCATGGGATTCTAAATCTCAACACGCATCTTACGTTTTGTTTATGAATATACGATGCATGTGACCCAATAATAAATAATTAAATATTAAAAAACAAAGAAGCTACATGGAAATTATATGATGGTTCTTGAACATTCTTCTTCAAACTCTTTGCTGGCTTATTTGATCAATTTGTTGTTTTAATTATTTATTGATGTGAAATAAATAACATGAATCTCTTACAATTATTCAAACAGAGGTCTCAGATTCAAACTTTGAAAAATATAATTACATTTTAAAGTTAAAATAAGTTATTTCAATGAATGACTTAAAATGTGATATTTCGCTGTATTACACTATCATCCCGACACAAATAACAACGCTAAATACTGCTATATATATATATATATATATATATATATATATATATATATATATATATATACACACTATTTTACGTAAATCACTAATTTGCATATTTTTGTGATCATCCTTTTTTTTTTTTATTTTATTTTTATATATCTATGTTTCTAATTTTAAAATTATAGTAACAGTGAAAATAACAAATAAAATTGTATTATAAACAATTATCTATATTTGGACGGAACATATTTACCTTAAAAATATCAAATAGATCAAGAGAATTATGAAATTGAGTTTTGGTGCAATCTTAGTATACTTCATGTCTAACAAGTAATCAATTGTTAGACGTAACATCTTTGGATGTAACAATGTTAGTCTTTTAATTTTGATGCGTTCAACGTAACTATATGTCATATTAACCGAATTCGTAAGATCAACGTAAGTGTCAATTTCAAATAATATTTTCAATTCATTAATAAGTGTATGTGTACGTTTGACGTCGTCTACCGTTAAAAGTTGAAACTTGAATTCTCAAACCTAAATTGATACGTATCATTTTAGAATAGAAGATCATATCACATACATGTTTGATCTTCGACAAAAAAAAAAAAAAAAAAAAAAAAAAAAAAAAAAAAAAAAGGTACTAGTGAGTAGTAATATGGTGGTCCAATTTGTAAATGGATGGGCTAACAAGTAGCAATAATAAGCTAAATATATATGGTACTCAATATATTATTATGAACTATAATTGATTACATCATACATAGAACCAGATCATATGTAGTATTAAGAATCATTTACAATAATCTTGCAATAAGTTTCATCTAACTGAAAATGTGATCGTGCCCATGCACACAATAAAGCAGAGAACCAAACTGCCGAAATTGCATTTATATATGTTTCTCCCTTGCAATATAATTCTTACATCTACGTTTATAAGTGATGGCACAATTTCTAGAGGGTTCGGGACCAACAGGACCATGATAGACATCCACTTTTTATTTATCAATTATATAAATTATCACTTTTCTGTAAAATGACTTTTTGCATTATTATCTTTTAATTGTTGTGAAGCTCCTGGGTTTCACTGTACTGTAGTTGGGTTATAATGGAGTTAATTCAATTAACACTCGAAATAATAAAGGAATTATATATGCATGACTACTATAACAAAAGTGATCGAATGATTGCATGGAGCAAACGACTGCATTGCGGGCGTTAATATTTTATTTTCAGCTCAAAGAATCAAAATATATTAACAGTCTCGTTTGATCATGTAATCACCCATTTAAAATGGTAACAGATATACAATCACACTACATAGTAAATGGGATAAATGACAAGAATGTGTAGAGGGGAGAGAGAAATGACAAAAATATGTGCTGACTTTTTTTTAGACAAAAATATGCAAAACTCATTTACCACTTGCGTTTTTGGGTGTGTCCCGAGGATTTTTTTTTTTTTCGTTATTTTCGTAAAACTCAAAGGTGACTTGCGTTTTTCGTATTGTATACCGTAAGCGCATCTGCCAAATGCGTTTTCATGTGACGTATGGAATACGTTAAACGCATTTGGTAGATGCGTTTTACGTATAATCCAAAAAAATACGTAAAACGCAAGTCCAAAATGCGGACTGTACCAGCGATCTATCTTGACAAGCCTAAAAGCATCAATTGATAGAGCCTTCAAAGAGACTCGCAGAAATCGCATAGAAGGTTGCTGCTGCGGCATCTGCTGGCTTGGCTTCGCCGTGAGCGGCGGCTGGTCCGGCAAAACGGCCGCCGCCGATGCACCTCCGCCGTCGAACCCTGTAAAATCCAGCTGCCTCGCCAGCTTCTTTGCCGGGAAATCCACAGCCGAAGAAGCCACCTCCATTTCAGCCTTTTTTGGAGGGAAATCTCCTCCCTCACTTGTTGTTCCCATTCAAAAATCAAAACCAGAAAAAATTAAGCCTAATTCTTCTTCTTTTTTTATCCTACAAGAACGAAACTTTCCCCTCCAACAATCACAGCCTTCAGAACTCGAACCATTCAGATTCTAAATCGTTCTAGAAACTCCATTAAATTTGAAAAAAAAAAAAAAAAAAAAAACTCGTCATCAAGCGCAGCTCAGATTCAAAAAACAAATTCCAAAACTCGATCTTTACCGGCACAAAGACGCACACACTAAGGCTTATGCAAATCTGTGGGCGGAAAGATAAAAAGAAAGAGATTTTTGGAAGAAGAATGAAGGAGAAAAAGAGATTGAGAGCGAGTAGGCATCTTCTCGCTCTCTCTGTTTTTGAAATTCAATTTCATCCTACTCTCAGCATTGGACGGTGCGATTGGAATGGCAAATTCAAATTCGCTTCATGTCCGCATGTGGTAATTGCGTTTTGTGCTTCGCCGTTCTTCGCGATCGCTGGAAACTGGCGGTACAAAAAATCCAAAACACGCAACTTGCTCTTGCGTTTTGCGTATAATACACAAAACGCAAGAGTAAGTTGCGTTTCTGCCTATACCGCATCATCCAGAAAACGCAATTACGTAATGCGTTTTACGTATAAAAATACGTAAACGCAATCAAGTCTTGTGTTTTACGAAAAAAAAAAATACGCCGGGATACAACCAAAAACGCAAGTGGTAAGTGAGTTTTGCATATTTTTGTCAAAAAAAAAGGCCGACACACTTTGAAAATTTTCCTTATTTGACTACACATTCCTGTCATTTATCCTAATAAATGCTTTTAGTACAAGAGAGATCATGTACGAAACAACCGCTCTCCATCTGGATCGCTTGGGTAGTTAGCCCCAAGTCTTTTGCATTAGTGCAACAATCTTTGATTGATTCTAAGCACTTTAATACTCTAACGGGCAAGTAAATGCTATAGGTTAAACTTAAAATCTTATATTATTACAATTATTTCAATTTCATTGTAGATGATTAAGCGACAAAAACTAATGATGAGGACAAAAAATGTTATCCAAGTACTCTATAATTCAATTACACACACACACAAAAAAAAATGTTACTTCCCCTAAAATATTTAAAAGTTCTTTGTACTAGATATTAATTGCATTCATTTGATGTGTAATTGTTGTCTTAATTATTAATTGATGAAATATTGATGGGGTGTTTGAAAAATAGATTAAAACCAAAGTCAGTATATAACACAAATATTAAAAATTTAAAACCTTCTCGTCAAAAAATAAAAAATAAAAAATTTAAAACCCTCTCGTCAAAAAAAATAAAAATTAACGCATAGAAAGATATTAATTAACGCATTACAGATTTTTGATTTTGTCTACTAATTTGTTTTGACTTGTCCAAACGAGTTCCTTCTACCGTTTCTTCTCCGGAGACTAAAGTCTTATGTTGGACCTAAACCTTTTAATTTTCTTCTACTTTCTAGGTGTCTTAGAGGCATGACTTCCAGTTGTTTAACACACAGAAACTAAGTGAACTGTTTTAGAAGGAAGTTCGCTACCACATGGTGGGTCATGGTTCTTCTCTCCATTTCAATTAACTACTTAAAGCCCACCTCACCCCCTCTTTGTCATGCTGAGTTTTAAAATGATTGCCAAGTATTCTTTTTAGTTTTAAAAATAATTTTTAAGTATTCATTTAAGTTTTAAAATGATTTTCAAGTATTTTTTTTTATTTAAATTATTTTCTAGTGTGCTCTTTAATTTAGTTTTAAAAATATTTTTCAAGTGTTCTCTAGTTTAAAAATGATTTTCAATTATTCTTTTAAGATTTAAAAATAATTTTCAAGTGTGCTCTAATTTAAAAATAATTTCTAAATATTTTTTTAGTTTAAAAATAATTTTCAAGTATTCTTTTTAGTTTTAAAAATGATTTTCAAGTGTTCTATTTAGTTTAAAAAATTATTTTCAAGTATTTTTTTTTTTAGTTTTCAAAATGATTTTCAAGTATTATTTTACAGCTTTAATTTAAATGGTATTTTGTGTAGGATGTGGCACATGGTATAATATGGCATTTTTTTTTGTTTTTTTTTTTTTTTTGTTATATCAGGGGGAGAATCTTTTTAATTAAGTACTTCAATTGTCTGATTTTCCTTGCCAAGCAAGCTTGTGCCTGTTTAACTGCTTTGTTTAAGCATATCGGTAACACCGAGAACAGAAGTGCAGAGGAATTAAGTACCTGGGAGCATTCGCGAAAAGGTTATGTACTTTATTAGAGATAAGGTGAGAACCTCAATCAAACAATTTCATTGTCTGTTTAAAGCACAAGGAGTCAAATTAGTTTTTTATTGCTTTCTAATTGTTAGATATGAACAGGCAAGTATGTGAATAGCCATGATTTGAAGAGGCATAGGTATGGGAATAGACATGAATGTGAAGAGGCATAACAGTACCTTCCATCTTGTATATATATATGTAAGTGTTGTGTTAGTGTAGAATGCAGAATGTGAGAATAAAAGAAAAGGTCTCGTACTCCAATTTTCAACGATGAATAGCTTCTCCTTTTAGTTTCCTTCACTAATTATACAAGGTTTTGTCAGAATTCTGTAATTAATTCTGATATGCTTGAACAAACAGTTAAACAGGTTGCAACACAAGCATAAATAGAATACAATTGGGCTACCCAAGAAAAGTCACAAGTCAACCAATAAGTTGTAGACAAATAAATACAGGGTATCTTGCAACTTCTTGACATTTTCTCTTGTATAATTTGTTACATCACAACATGAGATCATAGAAGAAAGAATGAATTCAAAGCAAGGGAAACTAAGATCCTCCATATCATCAAAATGGTGTACCATTTTCCTTTTTGGCAGAGTAACAATTGAAGTTGTCGCCAACTTCTCACCATGTGACACACAAGGAAGCCACTGTTGATACAATTTAAAGAGTACCATATTCCCTCCCAGCAAACCACAGGAAGAACTCTTATCACCAGAGTTTCCCTACAACAGAGCCACTTGGACACTTTCCAAACACAAATTATAGTTCCTCATTAATTTTTGGACTATAATGAAATAGCACACATCTTCTTTCTCTTCAACTTCAATCTTTCACCAACGCAGAACACCTACTAGAAATGAACCCAACCCCCTGTATATACAAAATCCTATTTCCTCATTACTCAATACATTAAAGTCAATAAGAGCAGCTAAATTAAAATTAATGAAACAAGAACAAAAATTTATTTTCCAATAGGTACAAAATCAACATAAAACTAAGATTTTTTTTATGTGAATATTAAAGCTTATCATCTAAAAAAGGAATTAAAAAAAAATGCTAGATTAAAATAAAAAAATATTTGATCCTTTCTTTGATTCCTTTCCTTACTCTTTGTAGGAGGAAGATGTGGATAACAGGATCATTTCCTTTGGTGGGGACAGGGAAGTTGGGGGAAAAGGAAATTTTTATATAAACTTTGAAACTGAAATTTACTCTTCACAATCTGCCTTAACAATGTCATAAGAGCTTTCTGTACATTCACCCAGAATCATCAGGGGAGTTCATCATTTTAGAGAATTGAGCAAGAATGTCAACAACTTTAGGCAAGCAATAATTCATAGGTTATGAAACAAAAAATTACCTGTTCCAAGGAATTGAGCAAGAATGTCAACAACTTTAGGTACATATTTTGGTGTATCCTTTTTTAAAATTGAAAATCATTTTTAAAATAAAGAACACCTGAAATCCATTTTTAAACAAAAGAGCACACTTTAAAAATAATTTTGAAAGTGAAGAGCACACTTTAAAATCATTTTTAAACTAAAGAACACTTGAAAATCATTTTTAAAATTCAATAGCAATTGAAAATCATTTTTAAAACTAAAAAAACATTTAGAAAATCATTTTTAACACTAAACAACACACTTGAAAATCATTTTTAAAAATAAAAATAAAAACTTAAAAATCATTTTTTAACTAAAGAACACACTTAAAAATCATTTTTAAAACAAAAAAGAATATTTAAAGATCATTTCTAAACGAGAGCACACTAGAAAATCATTTTTAAAACTAAAAAGCACATTTGAAAATCATTTTTAAAACTAAAGAGCACACTATAAAATAATTTAAAAGAATACTTGAAAATTATTTTAAAACTTAAAAGAATACTTAAAAATTATTGTTAAAACTAAAAAAGTACTTGACAATCATTTTAAAACTTAGCATGGCAAAGAGGGGTTGAGGTGGGCATTAAGTAGTTAATTGAAATGGAGAGAAGAACCATGACCCACCGGTAGTGAAATTCCTTCTTAAACAGCTCACTAAGTCTCTCTGTTAAAGAACTAGAAGTCATGCAAGACACATAGAAAGTAGAAGAAAATTAAAAGGTTTAGGTCCTAGTAGATAAAATAATCTAAAATAACATATCACAGGGAGGTGCTTACGATTAATGCATACGAGGAATTCGAGGATCTTTGGATCTTGTAGGACCATTCTGTCACATTGTTTACTTGAAATATTCAACTCCGAGTAACTATTAACAAAGAGAATTGTCAAAAATCATTCAACAAAAAGATAATTTTATTAGTCAGCTGGCAATTAGCATACTCTTTCGCTCTTTTCTTGGTGACTCAATCCAATTTTCACTGGCAATCTTCTTAAAATCAACCTTATTTTCATCCTTCATCAGCAACAAGTAAAATATCAAAAATCGCAGCATTAGAAAAAGAACCCCAAAAAACAAAAGATCATCATCGAAGTCATAGATATCAGCAGCTGCATAAAATGAGATCTAGATTAGCCCAGAGAGAGAGAGAGAGAAGAGAGAGGAGAAAGAGAGAGAGGAAAAAAAAAAAAGAAAAAGATAGCATATGGTCATCCATCTTAAACTTGATAGCATCTTCTGTAAACTTCTTCATCTTGGCATGAAGTTCAGCTGTAGCGTCTTCTCCTTAAGCAATGATCCTATCCTATATATCTTCATCTGTGATTGTGCCATCCTTGGAAGTGAAAACCATCTCAGCACCAAACCTCACCATCTGCAGTAGCTCATCTTTATTTACAGCTGCAGTGAGAACAATGCTTTTATCACCAGACCCTGAATCGCGTATACGTTGCAAACGATCCATCAGTTCTGTGACCTTTGAAGACTCCTTCAGTCCTTCTTACCATCAATTCTGAATTTATTTGCTTTAGGACAAGTGATCAGATCGTTTCTATTTAACAATTGACGACAGATTAGACACATTCCAGAAGATGGATTTCGCAAGCTTGATAACAGACATTCTCTGCACATTGTGTGTGCACAAGGTGCGAGCACAGGGTTATCTACAGACTCTATGCATATGGGACACTCTGTGTTTTCGCCGCCTTTACAGATTTCCGCAACAACCTCTTCAATCTATGGTCGAGTAGGCACCTTCTGAGAGGCAGAATCAGGGTTTGTTTCAACATACTTTTGTGCAACCCTGTCCAAACCAGGGTTTGTTTCAAGGAACTTCTGGGCAAGCTTGTCCAGGTTTGCATATTTGTTAGGGGAAATAAACTGGTTTAGAGATCAGAGTATATTTCATCATAGAGACATGCACAGTTAAGCTCTAATGGCATTTCACCTCATCACAAGAAAAGGATGGTTGCAATACTGTCTCAGTCTGAGTAGCAACTCAAGAATGTTTGCAAAGCTGTGACGAACTTAGCCTTGTGCTACAAATTCGTAAAACTGGACCTGGTTTATCCAAAAGAAACTGTTAGTTCCCAGTCCCAAAAATGCATATCAGATTTCGAACCACATGTCTGAATAATCTGAAAGAACCCTTGAAAATGCTGTTACTTCTAACACGACACACACAAAAATAAAAATAAAAATCAGAGCTTTCTTGGAGGGTATTTAACGAGCATGAGAAAATGGGAAACCAAACAAACTTGTTGAGGCTGCAAATCTTACTTTAGATTTCTTGTCTCATCACAGAAATCGTACTCTACTTCCGACTGTTCACACTTAATGACTTGGATGTTAGTTGGTGGCAGGACAAGAATTGGCTTTGGTTGCTTTTGTTGAAACCCTAGGCCCGTTAGAGTGGGCCCATTAGGTTATCAGACTGTTCACTCTTTCGCATGGTATTAGAGCCTAAACCCTAGAATTCTATCCCCTTTCTGGCGCCACCACTGCCCATCGGAGATCCACCGTCGTTGCCGCCACTGTAAACTATTCCGACGCCTGACTTGTGGCTTTTCACCCAAACCAAGCCCACAGGCCTCATCGGAACAGTGTCGCGGGCCTAGGGCTGAAGTCCGACTGCCGACCGCCGCCGCACGCACCGCCACGCGCCACCGACGTCGCTGTACAGACCAATTCCTCCCGGTTGAGATTCTGAGCAGATTAACCGCCTTCATGTTGAACGAGGACCAAGAGGCGTACGACTCCATCAGCTGGAATAAGGAATCGTTAGGATGCTTTTCTGTCAGCTCTGCGTATGACATAGCCGTAGGTGAAGCTGATCAGGTGGAGGCAACCAAGTGGAATAACATCTGGAAGCTAAAAGTGCCAAATTCCGTGTGGCTTGTTGCCCATGGGGGAGGATTTAGAGCATGTTCTAAGATCCTGCCCAGAAGCGGATGCTATTTGGAGATTAATGTTGCCCTCTTCGTATGCAAGCTGTGCCTCCATATCGTTTGGGAGGTGGCTGGAAAAAGGATTTTTGGACAAAGGGAATGGTAGGCATCCTTACCAAAGTAATGCACTCTTTGCAGTAACAGCATGGTGGAAGAACGAGGCGATCTTCAATAACTCTAAGAAGCTGTTAAGCGTTGAGATTTCATGGATTAGATCGCAGCTAGATGAAATAGGCAGGGCCTTTGGAAGGGCGAAAGGCTTCTCGTCACAATCAGATCAGTCCACCTGGAAGCAGCTGTGTTGGATGAGTCCTCCAAGAAGCATGTAAGAAAGAGATATGCAATCTGGAAGTATGGCAGCAAGTTGAGCCAATCGTCCACGATCAAAATCAAGTAGCGGATGCCCTGGCGAAGATCTCAGCTCACCACCCTACTGGACTGCACATCCTCTGGAAGCCACCTGATGAAATCTTAGGACTAATCGATGATGATATTTCTGGTGTGCCTAGATGGCGGGAGGTTTATAACTCCAGCTAATTGCTGTACTACAACTTGGGTTTCCCCCTTCTGGTTTAATTTTTTTTTTTTTTTTTTTGAAAACATATTAAAAACAAAAAAGAATACTTAAAAACTCTAAAAATCAACAAAGGGTTAGGACCCAAAATGTGGAAAAATCAGATGGACAGAAAAGAATTTAAGAGTTAGGACACAAAATATCAAGAACAGGCAGGCAATGAAATTCAGACAACAGACAATGGTTGTATACAGTAAACATCGAAGATTACTATCGATATTACCATGACCTACCACAGAGAAGTCCAAATTCATTAATCAAAAAGCACTCATCCCAAGGAATGATAAAGAAAAGAAAGAGTATATAAAGAAGAATGAAATGGGAGGTGAAAGGAAAAATATGAGTGAAATGATGAAAAGGATGAGTAGATAACAATAAGGAATGAACTAAACGAAGGGAAAAATGAAGAAAATTAGAGAGAAAATGTGAGTGAGATGAGATAGAGAAGAAGAAGAAGAAGAAACGGAAGAAGAGAAAAATGGGATATAATGAGAAAAAAGAGAATGAATATGAGAACAAGAAAGAGAAGAAAAAAAGAGTAGCAGTAGACAAGGAGAAAAGAGAAGATGAAGGAAATATGAAAAATAAAGAACGAGGGTCAAAATGGAGTTAATGAAAAGAATAAAGAGAAGAAGAATAAAAAGGTGGATGGGGATAAGAGATAGAAAGCGGAATGATAAGGAGAAATGGAGAAAGGGAGGAAAGAGAAACAAAAAGACTAGCGAGTGAGAAAATGAGTTGGGACAATAAGAAGGAAAAGAGATGATACAAATTAAGAAGAGAAAAAGGGAGGTTAGAGTAAAAAGAAAGAACATGATGTATTAGAACGAAAAGGAAAATAAAAAGAGAGTACAGTAATAGATTAAGAAATGGGTAGAGAGGCGAAAGGAGGAATAATGAAAATATTGAAGTAAAAGATAATGAAAAATGAGATGGTGAAGAAACAGTGAGAGAAAGAGAAAAGAGGGTCAAAATGAAAAGAGAGATAAACACGCACAAATGAGAAGGGAAGTTAGATGAGAGATAAAAAGCAGAAAAATAACAGGACGGAAGAAGAGATGGAAGGAGAACGAAGAGGAAGAGAAATAAAAAGACGAAGATGATGAGAGTTAAGAAAATTTGGAGAATGAGCAGGAAAAGTGGCGAAAAAAATCAAAGATATATAGTAAAGAATAATAGAAGGGGAAAAGGAAAAGAAGAAAAAATAGGAAGAAAATAAGAAAGAGTCAAGATATAGAATAATGTGAACTAAAAAGAGAAAGAGGAGAAGAAAAACTAGTAGTAGACAAAAAAGAATGAAATGGAAGATAGGTGGAAGGAAGAAAAATAGGGGTGAAATGATGAAAAAAATGGGAAGATTAATAAGGAATAAATTAAAAGAAGATAAAGGAGGAGGATGAGAATAATAACAAAAAGAATTATAAGAGTAATGAAGGGAAAAAAAGTATGAGAATTATTTTAAGAAAGGATGGAGAACATGAAGACAAAAGAAGAAAGTGAATGAATACGAGGACAAGATGGAGAAAAATAATACCTCACACCATGAGAAAGATAAACATACACAACTAGAAGGGAATTTATAAGAGGACAAGAGGTAGAAAGCTGAGAAATAACAAGATAAATAAGAGATGGAAGGAGAAGGAAAGGGAAGATTAATAAAAAGACGAAGAGACTTTGGAGAATAAGAAGGAAAGGAGAGGATAAAAAATAAAGATAAAAGGGGAAAAGGTGAAAAAATAGAAGGGGAAAACAAAAAGAAGAAAAAATATAAGTAAAATAAGACAAAAGAAGGACATCAAGAATTATGCGTAATAAAAAAGAGAAAGATGAGAAGAATAAAGAGTAGATATAGAAAAATGAAATGAGAAGATAGGTGGGAGGAAAAAATAGGGATGAAAAGGATGAATAGATAACAATAAGGAATGAACTAAAAGAAGATAAAAAAAAAAAAAAAGGCGACGAAGATATTAATAGAAAGAGAATTTTAAAAATTATGAGAACATGGGAGGAAGGGAAAAGAAGTATGACAATTATTTTAGGAAAGGATGGAGAACATGAAAGAAAAAGAAGGGAAAAAATAAGAAAATGAGAGGAAGATGAGAAAGAGAAGAAGAAGAAGAAAAGGAAGAAGATAAAGAAGTAAGAAGAAAGAGACTTAATACAACGACAAGGAGGAGAAGAAAAAGAGAGCAGCAGTAGATTAAAAAAACAAGGAGAAAGAGCAATAAGAAAAATAGGAAGAAAAAGACAAAGAAAAAGAGAAGTTGAAGGAATATGGAAAATGAAGAATGAGTGTCAAAATGGAGAGAAAGATAAACATTACACTTTAATGAAAAGAATAAAGAGAAAGAAGGTGGATGAGGATAAGAGAGAGAAAACGAATGGAGGAGGATAAAAGGAGAAAGAATGGGAAGATAAACAAAAACACGAAAAGAGTGAAAAAAGGAGTTTGAAGGATAAGATAAAAATTATATATTATATATATAACAACATGGAATGAACTAAAAGAAGATAAAGAAAGGTGACGAGGATAATAATAGAAAGAGAGAATTATAAAAATTATGAGAACATGAGAGGAAGGGAAAAGAAGTATGAGAATTATTTTAGGAAAGTATGGAGAACACAAAAGAAAAAGAAGGGAAAAAAGAAGAAAATGAGAGGAAGATGAGAAAGAGAAGAAGAAGAAGAAAAGGAAGAAGATAAAGAAATAAGAAGAATGAGAGAATTAATACAAGGACAAGGAGGAGGAGAAAAAGAGAGCATCAGTAGATTAAAAAACAAGGAGAAAGAGCAATAAGAAAAATAGAAAGAAAAAGACAAAGAAAATGAGAAGTTTAAGGAATATGGAAAATAAAGAATGAGTGTCGAAATGGAGAGAAAGATAAACATTACACTTTAATGAAAAGAATAAAGAGAAAGAAAGTGGATGAGGATAAGAGAGAGAAAACGAATGCAGGAGGATAAAAGGAGAAAGAAGGGGAAGATAAACAAAAAGACGAAAAAAGTGAGAAAAGGAGTTTCGAGAATAAGATAAAAATTATACATTATAATATATAACAATAAGGAATGAACTAAAAGAAGATAAAGAAAGGTAACGAGGATAATAATAGGAAGAGAGAATTATAAAAATTATGAGAACATGAGAGGAAGGGAAAAGAAGTATGAGAATTATTTTAGGAAAGGATGGAGAACAAGAAAGAAAAAGAAGGGAATAAAGAAGAAAATGAGAGCAAGATGAGAAAGATAAGAAGAAGAAAAGGAAGAAGATAAAGAAGTAAGAAGAAAGAGAATTAATACAAGGACAAGGAGGAGAAAAAAAGAGAGCAGCAGTAGATTAAAAAAACAAGGAGAAAGAGCAATAAGAAAAATAGGAAGAAAAAGAGAAGTTGAAGGAATATGGAAAATGAAGAATGAGTGTCAAAATGGAGAGAAAGATAAACATTACACTTTAATAAAAAGAATAAAGAGAAAGAAGGTGGATGAGGATAAGAGAGAGAGAGAGAGAGAGAAAACGAATGTAGGAGGATAAAATGAGAAAGAAGGGGAAGATAAACAAAAAGACGAAAAGAGTGAGAAAAGGAGTTTGGAGAATAAGATAAAAATTATATTTATATATATATATATATATATATATATATATAGAGAGAGAGAGAGAGAGAGAGAGAGAGAGAGAAGGTCAACAAAGAAAAAACGAGAAGGGATGAGAATTAAAGTGGATGAGTAAGAAAGGATGGAGAACATGAATGTAATACCTTGGCATTGATATTCAGTAGCCGTTTGGTCGACATAGCCGCTACAAAGAAAACAGGAGACTTTAGTAGAGAAAAACTCCATAACATATTATATACACACACACATAGTGAGGGAAAAAAAATGATCAAAATTAAACATATGAAAGAAAAAGCACACTCTCAAATCTCAATAAGTGAATACCAGATCCATAGAGAGAAGAGACGAAGCCACCACCAAGGTTGCAACTGATATTTTCAGTAGCCGTCGGTCGACATAGCCGCTATAAAGAAAACAGGAGACTTTAGTATAGAAAAACTCCATAACATATTATATACAAATCACACAGAGTGAGAGAAAAAAAAAGATCAAAATTAAACATAAGAAAGAAAAGGCACAGTCTCAAATCTAAATCAGTGAATACCAGATCCATAGTGAGGAAAACCAAATTGTCATGGGAAACATCCATTCCAATTATCGATGGAGAATACTCTACTGCAAGCAAGAAATTCATACCACCAAGTTATAATAAATCAGGGAAATGAAGAAAGAGAATGAATATGAGGACAAGAAGGGGAAGAATAATACCTCACAACATGAGAAAGATAAACACACACAAATGAGAAGGGAGTGCAGATGAGGAAAAGGGGTAGAAAGCATAAAAATAACAAGAAAAAGAGATTGAAAGAGAAAGAAGGAGGGGATTAATAAGAAAGAAAAGGCACGCTGTCAATCCGTGAATACCAGCCAGAGTTTTCTTCCAATCGACGGCAACATCCATTATCGGGATAAGCTGAAAAGGTTCCGAGGGAAAGGGAAAGGTTTTGAAGCTGCAATAAAAAACACTTTCAACAAAAGGGAAATTAACACATGGAATTAACAAAAAGCACATGAATACTAAAGCAGTCTCATAAACTAAAGCAAGATGTATAAACTCAGGAAAATAATGCGGTCACTTAAAGTGGAGGTACCTTCTTATTTAGAGGGCGAGCCTTAAACTTGGGAATTTTTGCTATCATTTCTTCTTCCAACTCAGCTGAGCTCTTAAGTTTTACTGGACGGTAACGTTGAGCTGGTTCAAGTTCAGGTTCCTTAGGCCTTGTCAGTGCAATCCTAAGCTTCCTCTGCACTGATCCAGCAGCCATACCATCCTGAAAAATAGTTCAAATTTTTAAAGAAAACGTACTAGAAAAATAATAAAACTTTTAAGCAAGTTACATGTGACATGGAACAATTCATGCATGGCATTGACATCTCCCTTGTACTAGATTCAAACTTCTTCATAATTTCTGCCGTTGAAATAAATGGGGATGCTGGTTCACGAACATAAATCTGAAAAAGAGATTAGCAACATGTATTAGATTCAGAAAATTAATGTCCATAAGTGAAAGGCAAGACATAAAAATGCATACTAACCTTTCTGTCTTCTGCACGTGTTTTAGCAATTGAAGTGTACAAGTTGCTGGTCGATTTCCCAGGTCTTGTTTTATGGAGTAAAGTTTGGGGTTTGATGCTAAGGATCTAAGCAAAAGTGAGAACAAATTGAGGAGATGAGATTAAAAATATGTGAAAAATGATACACTTAAAAAGGTAAACAAATTTTGGTAAATAAATGACCCACCTGTCTAGCTTTCCCCTCTTCAAGTTTTTGCCTCTTTATATAGCTTGATTTTCTTGAGCAAAATTTGGAATTTCATATGTAATTTTAATATTTGCGTTCCTGTGAATCAATAATTGATAAGAAACATATTACACAAATACCAGCTCACCAAAATAAAGAGATATAGAACAAAACAAGACAAATATAGGAAGTAAAAGAAAGATATCTACCTTCTTGCACTAGCTGGATTAATGCATATAACTTGTGATTGGGTTGCTGACTTCAATGCAGAGGGGTTCCTGATCATACTTGCTACTTCTTTTAGCTGTCTGGTGCTTCTTAGCATCAGTTTGTTCGGCTGTTTTATGAGAAGTTATTTTTGGTGGCTGAGGGGTGCATGCTCCCATTAAATAATCTCAGAAGTCAGCGAAACTAAGTTGGCTTTGTCAGTGAAACTTAATTGAGGCAAACCAAATTGTATAAACGAAGTTGATATTCACAGAGTGGAGCAAACCTTGAAGTGAGGACAGCTTCTTACAGGATCCTTGAGAACTGATATTACAGCAGAAACAGAACCATGAACAGCTGACTGCTTGTCACCAGATCCCTGAGAAATTAGCGAAATGTAATAAGAATCATAACGCTGAAAACAACAGTAGAATACTATGCAGATGGAGCAAAACATACCAAATTGCTTCCCCGTCGGGAGTCACTTCTTGAGAGAGAGAGAGAGAGAGAGAGAGAGAGAGAGAGAAGGTCAACAAAGAAAAGTCTAGAAGGGATGGGAATTAGAGTGGGTGAGTGAGAAAGGATGGAGAACATGAAGGAAAAAGAAGGAAAGAACGAGAGATACAAATAAGGAAGATGGGAAAGAGAAGAAGAAAATTAAGATGAGAAAAGGGGGGATAGAATAAAAAGAAAGAAATTGATAAATATTAGAACGAAAAGTAAAAGAAAAATAGAGTTAGAGTAGTAGATTATGAGCTGAGCTGAGCACTATAAGTTTTATTGGACAGTACCGTTGAGCTGTTTCAAGTTCAGGTTCCCTTGTCATTGTAAGCTTAGGCTTCCTCTGCACTGATCCGAGCTATACTATCCTGAAAAATAGTTCAAATTTTTAAAGAACACGTACTAGAAAAACAATAAAACTTTTAAGCAAGTTATTTGTATTAACATGTGACATGGAACAATTCATGTGTGGCATTGACATCTGACTTGTACTAGATTCAAACTTCCTCATTATTTCTGCTATTGAAATAAATGGGGCTGCTCGTTCTCGAACATAAATCTGAAATAGAGATTTTCACCATGTATTAGATTCAGAAATTAATGTCCACAAATGAAATGCAAGACATAAAAATGCATACTAACCTCTCTGCTTATCCTCGGATCATAGCTTCATCTCCATCCTCATCATCATCTGCCATTTCTCTATCAGACTCATCGTCATCATCATCACTTTGAAATCCATCCATCTCAACCTCATCTTTAGCTTCCTCTGCCTTTGCAGCTTCTGAAGATTTAGAAGGTAGAAAATGATATCAAACATTAAGAGAATATACCATCTAAAGTGCAAATGAAACAAATAAAAAAACCAGTATGGGAAGACCATAGGAAAAAAAAATTTAAAATAGTTACTTACCAGCAAGTTGCTCGTTGTGCATACAAGGAGGTCAAGAATGGCCTTAAAAATGCCCTCTAAGGTTGCTGCTGGCATTTGATCAGCAGGAAGACTGAGCAATGATGTCAAGCCCAAGCAGCAAACCTTCTTCTCATGCTCTCTGCAATACCAACATGGTAAGAATTAGAAACCCATCACTTTCCTTAGCTTTGTTTTTCTTATGCCTTTTACATCTCTCCACAAGAACTACAAGACCAACATATTGCTACCTTTTAGAATTAGCCCGAGCTTCACTTTTTTTTAGTTTTTTGTAGCATATGGAACCAAAGATTGAAGATCTCTGTAGCAACACCAAGCGTAAATGAAGGGTTATAGTAAACAGCATCAGCAATCTGTCAATAAGAAACAAATTTAGAAGTTATTTCACAGGAAAAGGACACAAACACAGAACATGTGAATCTGTAGGGGAAAATATAGCAAAAAGTAGATCCACTAAAAAATAAAGTATCCAGTAAATATTTGGTTTTAATACAGGAGACTTCATGTATCATTTAAAGATATTTCACACCCAGCTCATATATCAGGTATATGCAGAACTGAAAGTGCACTCACAACATTTCATTGAAATTTGAACTCATTTACATGCTAATGTGACCTATGCCTCCTCAACAGGAACAAAGGCAAAGAAACGAGTTCAAATCACAATATTACTTGTTAGATTATTAGCCACAAATAAGTCTTCTAATCATGCAAAGGAACAGTACACACATAATCTCCATGTTTTATAGACTGGGAACCACTTCACACAAAAGAAAAAAAAAAAATCAAGGGAACCAAATGAATATGTATAAACAGAGAAATATTTAAGTATCTTACCACTTGGATCAGGAGGCACTTCAAGTATGGTGTTTCACTTTGATGCAGACATTCAATTGAGATTCTGAGATATGGCTCAACCCAGTGATCGACCTGTCCTTTGCAGTTCTGGAATGGAACTTTGATGAGCTTAGGTGCAGACTCGATGTCACTATCTTCTATGTTTTTGTCCCATCAATTTCAGGTTTTCTCCGAGTTCTCTCTATATAGACCTGAAAAGTGAAAAATGCATATTATGGCTACCAAGATGATTCTTGTGCTCCACTGACATGTCACATGTGCATGTGCATTGAAGGCACTGGATATAAAACCAAAGATCATTGTGAATAATAAAGAAATAGTACTCTATACAAAAAGCTATAATAACTAATAAGCAGACACAATACTTACGAAAGGGGAAGGTGAACAAGCTTGGGAAGGATATGAGGCAGCACAGCACTGGTCCTGACACTGAACGAAGAATCCAATACATTTTGAAAATCAGAAAAGGTGCCCAGGCAGATATGTAAGAAAATACACATTTGCAAATGGTTTTCAACTTTAAAATCTGTTTTAAACCATCCAGAGCAGTATCAGGGTTTGATCATCCTCCAGAGCATGCAGAAGTGTCGGAACAATCTCATCAATTGCTTGCATTCAGGAAAGCAGTAAGAAATTTTTCATACAGGAAAGGCACAAACAAAATTGCTTCCTTCAATACATATGATGTTTCGTATCATACATAATAACTTCAATACGTTGCGAATTTAGTAAGCGTTTCAAGATAATCTTTGACGAGACAAATGTTTCATGTTTCATGTTTTCCAGGCATAATCCTAAATGTTCAGAAAGATCAAAGGGGAGCAAATGAAAAAAGTGCATACTTTGGAATATGGATGAAGGTTGGCCATCATGGATCATCAATCTTCACTCCAACTTCTCCACAATTCATTCAACCTCTCTATGATAGCCTGCAGTTTCAGCAGAAATCAAACATCCATTTTTTCTGCAAAATCTATGCAAAGTACACTTCACTAGAGCAAGGATAAGGCACAAGAAAAATCCTTCTTCTCGCGATTACACTCACCTTCTGACTTGTTTCTTGGAGCTCCCCAGCGAGAACGAATTCATCTAAGATTAGATATACCTTCATAGGAAAACAATCAATCAGAAGTATAAATTACAATGCAGCATACACAAGGTGAATACACTAGAAATAAAAGAAAATACAGAGATTCACAATGAGAAAGACTGACAAACCATACCTTGTGAAAGTTAAAAACCAAATCTAACTCCCAGACATTACTAAAAAAGTGATCCAGTATCTCCACAAACAAGTGGATGCACTCCAAATAAGCCAACTCGTTGTCCGTCATTTCAACACAGCGAGAATTGCACTTTTAACTTGCCATGGGACCCTATTATATGAAGCAACGGCGTACACCAAATAACAATCTAGAATGACCTTACACTTGTGATCCAAAGGTTCAGACAAATGTAGAGGACTGTTTTATAGTTGATACACTAATAAAGGGCACAGTTCACTGCATACCATAAATAGGCAACATAATGTCTATGTATAGCTTATTTTGTTGGTTGCAATCCTTTTAATAGTCTCATAGTCAAAACTAGCAATGTGTAGAAATATAGTAACAGCTCATACCCTGTGATTGGAATGAAAAACTCCTTTAATGCTTGCTTGCTCACTTCTCACTTCAATTAACTCTCCACGGCCCAAAGCTGCTTTCTGTTAATTCAGCAGATCCAAGAGACCCTACAATAGATAATAAAGGAAATTCACATAACCATGCAATCAAAGCTCAACAATCCTGCATTCCTAAAACTTGTTACCAATGCTTGTAATAATGCAAAACAGATTCCAAAAACGACAACAACAATAATAAAAACAATCTTTATGTATCATTAATAGATTATACATAGTTTCGTACATATAATAATTCTTGGAAGAATTTCTATGCTATAATTATTAAATATTAGAAAATTTGGTATACAAATGAAGAGATTCTTTCAATTTATATTTTAAGTTCACAAACAAAAGATAAGCAGTTATACCTGGAGGAACATAGGAAGCACAGGCTGAAGAGCTTTCCGGGGGCAAAAACTGAAAGAAGCATCCAATACATTTTAAAAATCAGAAAAGGTGCCCAGGCAGATATGTAAGAAAATACACATTTGCAAATGGTTTTCAACCTTAAAATCTGTTTTAAACCATCCACATCAAACATCCATTTTGCATGCAGAAGTGCCAGAACAATCTCATCAATTGCTTGCATTCCAGCAGTCTACACAAGGAACCATAATCAATTCATCATCAAACTAATATTTAAAATATAAAAACTGGTATGTCAACACACCAAGAACTAACTAGTGGTACCATGTAGAGAGTGCTAAATGCCAACCCTGCTGATTCACGAACCTCAGGTCATGCTATAACATTGGAAAATCAGTATGAAATTTTTCATACAGGAAAGCAGAAACAAAATTGCTTCCTTCAATACAAATGATGTTTCGTATCATACATAATAACTTCAATAAGTTGTGAATTAAGTAAGCGTTCTAAGATAATCATTGACGAGACAAATGTTTCATGTTTGACAAGATATGAGATTGGACCGAAACAAAAAGATCAAGTTGAGCATTCTCAAATGAAAGCACTCTCTACCTAAAGGACAGAAGAAAATTAACTCAATCATGAATAGGGGGAGGAAATGACCCAGCAACCACAATGTCTTCGTCAATAAAAATATGTGAAAAATGATACACTTAATAAGGAAAAAAAAAAATTTGACAATAAATGACCCACCTGTATAGCCTTCCCCTCTTCAAGTTTTTGCCTCTTTAAAGCTTGATTTTCTTGAGCAATATTTGGAGTTTCAGATGTAATTTTAACATTTGCGTTCCTGTGAATCAATAATTGAAAAGAAACAACATATTACACAGATTCCAGCTCACCAAAACAAGACAAATATGGGAAGTAAAAGAAAGATATATACCTTCTTGCACTATCTGTATTAATGCTTTTCACTTGTGATTGGGTTGCTGACTTCAATGCAGAGGGGTTCCTGATCATACTTACTACTTTTTTTAGCTGTCTGGTGCTTCTTAGCATCAGTTTGTTGGGCTGTTTTCTGAGAAGTTATTTTTGGTGGCTGAGGGGTGCATGCTCCCATTAAATAATCTCAGAAGTCAGTGAAACTTAATTGAGGCAAACCAAATTGTATAAATGAAGTTGATATTCACAGAGTGGAGCAAACCATGAAGTGAGGACAGCTTCTTACAGGATCCTTGAGAACAGATATTACAGCAGAAACAGAACCATGAACAGCTGACTGCTTGTCACCAGATCCCTGAGAAGTTAGCGAAATGTAATAAGAATCATAACCCCCAAAACAACAGTAGAATACTATGCAGATGGATCAAAACATACCAAATTGGCTTCCCAGTCAGGAGTCACTTCTTCCTATCAACAATCCTTATACATGGCTCAAAAGTTAAGGCTTATTATGCAAATTCCAGTGGATTGGTGCCCATATTACAGAATTAAGAATCAGACCAATTGTGAAATCCTATATATACATGCATTCAAGATTAATTTCAAAGCATAAAAGAACAGAGACAAATTCACAAAGGTAAACACAAAGCTGAAATTAATAAATTAACCATCTCTCCATTAAAAAGCAATTCATATAAATCAGTTAGTAAATAGTGGCTTCACATACAGTGACAGGCTGGTTATACCATTTGTGTGAAAAGAATGAATTACCTGAAAATTCCATGGGAAACATCCATTCCAATTATCGATGGAGAATACTCCACTGCAAGAAAGAAATTCATACCACCAAGTTATAATAAATCAGGGAAATGAAGAAAGAGAATAAATATGAGGACAAGAAGGGGAAGAATAATACCTCACACCATGAGAAAGATAAACACGCACAAATGAGAAGGGAAGTTAGATGAGGGATAAAAAGCAGAAAAAAATAATAAAAATGAAATTAACACATGGAATAAACAAAAAGCACATGAATACTAAAGCAGTCTCTTAAACTAAAGCAAGATGTAAACACTCAGGAAAATAATGTGGTCATTCAAAATGGAGGTACCTTCTTATTTAGAGGGCGAGCCTTAAACTTGGGGAATTTTGCCATCAATTCTTCTTCCAACTCAGCTGAGCTCTTAAGTTTTACTGGACGGTAACGTTGAGATGTTTCAAGTTCAGGTTCCTTGGGCCTTGTCAGTGTAAGCTTAGGATTCTTCTGCACTGATTCCCAAACCATCCTGAAAAATAGTTTAAATTTTTAAAGAAAATGTACTACAAAAATAATAGAACTTTTAAGCAAGTTATTTGTATTTATATGTGACATGGAACAATTCAAGCGTGGCATTGACATCTCCCTTGTACTAGATTCGAACTTCTTCTTCATTTCTGCCATTGAAATAAATGGGGCTGCTGGTTCTCGAACACAAATCTGAAATAGAAATTTTCACCACATATTAGATTCAGAAATTAATGTCCATAAATGAAATGCAAGACATAAAAATGCATACTAACCTTTCTGTCTTCTGTACGTGTTTCATCAGTTGAAGTGAACAAGTTGCCCGTAAATTTCCCAGGTCTTGTTTTATGGAGCAAAGTATGGGGTTTGATGCTAAGGATATAAGCAAAACTGAGAACAAATTGAGGAGATCATATTAAAAATATGTGAAAAATGATACACTTAATACGGTAAAAAAATTTAGTCAATAAATGACTCACCTGTCTAGCTTTCCCCTCTTCAAGTTTTTGCCTCCTTATAGCTTGATTTTATTGAGCAAAATTTGGAGTTTCAGATGTAATTTTCATGTGTTCCTGTGAATCAATAATTGATAAGAAACATATTACACAGATTCCAGCACAACAAATAAAGTGACAGAGAACAAAACTAGACAAATATGGAAACTAAAAGAGAGATATCGACCTTCTTACACTAGCTGGATTAATGCTTTTCACTTGTGATTCAGATTTTGACTTCAATGCAGAGGGGTTTGAGATCTTACTTGCTATTGTTTAGCTGTCTGGTGCTTCTTAGCAATTAGCATCAGTTCGTTGGTCTGTTTTCTGAGAAGTTATTTTAGGTTGCTGAGGGGTGCATGCTCCCGTTCAATAATCTCAGCAGTCTGCGAAACTACATTGGCTTTGTCAGTGAAACTATATTGAGGCAAACCAAAAGTATAAACGAAGTTGATATTCAGAGTAGAGCAAACCTTGGATGGAGGACAGTTTCTTACAGGATCCCTGAGAAGTTATCGAAATGTAATAAGAATCATAACCCCCAAAACAACAGTAGAATATTATGCAGATGGATCAAAACATACCAAATTGGCATTCCCCGTCAGGAGTCACTTCTTCCTATCAACAACATGGCTCAAAAGTTAAGGCTCATTATACAAATTCCAGTGCATTGGTGCCCATATTATAGAATTGAGAATCAGACCAATTGTGAAACCCTATATATGCAGGCATTCAAGATTTATTTCAAAGCATAAAAGATCTCAAATCTCAATCAGTGAATACCAGATCCATAGAGAGAAGAGACGAAGCCACCACCAAGGTTGCAACTGATATTTTCAGTAGTCGTTGGTCAACATAGCCGCTACAAAGAAAACAGGAGACTTTAGTAGAGAAAAACTAAATAGCATATTATATACAAGCACACAGAGTGAGAGAAAAAACAACAAAAAAAAATTAAAAAAAAATAAAGATCAAAATTAAACACAAGAAAGAAAAGGCACACTCTCAAAACTAAATCAGTGAATACCAGATCCATAGAGAGAAGAGACGAAGCCACCACCAAGGTTGCAACTGATATTTTCAGTAGCCGTTGGTCGACATAGCCACTGCAAAGAAAACAAGAGACTTTAGTAGAGAAAAACTCCATAACATATTATATACAAGCACACAGAGTGAGGGGAAAAAAAAGATCAAAATTAAACATAAGAAAGAAAAGGCACACTCAAAATTAAACATAAGAAAGAAAGCGTACTAGAAAAATAATAAAACTTTTAAGCAACTTACATGTGACATGGAACAATTCATGCATGGCATTGACATTTCCATTGTACTAGATTCGAACTTCTTCATCATTTCTGCAAATTGAAATAAATGGGGGTGCTGGTTCACGAACATAAATCTGAAATAGAGATTTTCACCATTTATTAGATTCAGAAAATTAATGTCCATAAATGAAATGCAAGGCATAAAAATATGTGAGAACAAAGTCAGGAGATCAGATTAAAAATATGTGAAAATGATACACTTAATAAGGTAAAAGTTTTTAGTAAATAAATGACCCACCTTTCTAGCTTTCCCCTCTTCAAGTTTTTCCCTCTTCATAGCTTGATTTTCTTGAGCAAAATTTGGAGTTTCAGATGTAATTTTAATATTTGTGTTCGTGTGAATCAATAATTGATAAGAAAATATGACACAGACTCCAGCTCACAAAATTAAAGAGATATAGAACAAAACAAGACAAATATGGGAAGTAAAAGAAAGATATCTACCACTGGCACTAGCTGAATTAATGCATTTCACTTGTGATTGGGTTGCTGACTTTAATGCAGAGGGGTTCCTGATCATACTTGCTATTTTATTTAGCTGTCTGGTGCTTCTTAGCATCCGTTTGTTGGGCTGTTCTCTGAGAAGTTATTTTTTGTGGCTGAGGGGTGCATGCTCCCGTTAAATAATCTCAGCAATCAGTGAAACTACGTTGGCTTTGTCAGTGAAACGTAATTGAGACAAACCAAATTGTATAAACAAAATTGATATTCACAGAGTGGAGCAAACCTTGAAGTGAGGACAGCTTCTTATGGGATCCTTGAGAACTGATATTACAACAGAAACAGAACCATGAACAGCTGACTGCTTGTCACCAGATCCCTGAGAAGTTAGCAAAATGTAATAAGAATCATAACCCCCAAAGCAACAGTAGAATACTATGCAGATGGAGCAAAACATACCAAATTGCTTCCCCGTCGGGAGTCACTTCTTGAGAGAGAGAGAGAGAGAAGGTCAACAAAGAAAAATCGAGAAGGGATGGGAATTAGAGTGGGTGAGTGAGAAAGGATGGAGAACATGAAGGAAAAAGAAGAAAAGAAAGAGAGAAACGAATAAGGAAGATGGGAAAGAGAAGAAGAAAATTAAGATGAGAAAAGGGGGGATAGAATAAAAAGAAAGAAATTGATAAATATTAGAACGAAAAGGAGAAGAAAAATAGAGTTAGAATAGTAGATTATGGGCTGAGCTGAGCTCATAAGCTTTATTGGACAGTAACGTTGAGCTGATTCAAAAGTTCAGGATCCTTAGGCCTTCTCAGTGTAAGCTTAGGCTTCCTCTGCAATGATCCAGCCATACCATCCTGGAAAATAGTTCAAATTTTTAAAGAAAACATACTAGAAAAACAATAAAACTTTTAAGCAAGTTATTTGTATTTACATGTGACATGGAACAATTCATGTGTGGCATTGACATCTGACTTGTACTAGATTCAAACTTCCTCATCATTTCTGCCATTGAAATAAATGGGGCTGCTCGTTCTCAGACATAAATCTGAAATAGAGATTTTCACCATGTATTAGATTCAGAAATTAATGTCAACAAATGAAATGCAAGACACAAAAATGCATACTAACCTTTCTGCTTATCCTCGGATCATAGCTTCATCTCCATCCTCATCATCATCTGCCATTTCTCTATCAGACCCATCGTCATCATCATCACTTTGAAATCCATCCATCTCAACCTCATCTTTAGCTTCCTCTGCCTTTGCAGCTTCTGGACCTGGTTCATCGACAAGAAACTGTTAGTTCCCAGTCCCAAAAATGCATATCAGATTTCGAACCACATGTCTGAATAATCTGAAAGAACCCTTGAAAATGCTGTTACTTACAGGGGCTGCAAATCTTACTTTACATTTCTTGTAGAGGGCAGCATAGAAATAGCACTCTGCTTCCGACTGTTCACACTCAATGACTTGGATGTAAGTTGGTGGCAGGACAAGAATTGGCCTAATTCAAGGCTTTGCCTCTCAAGTAAACTTTGAGTTTTCAAGAAAACTAGAAAAAGAGACAATGAACTACCTCCCTTGTCCTTTGTTTCCTTTGTTCTCCTAAGCAAGCATTAATGGCCTAAGAATTGCCTTGATCAGTTTCTCAATGCTCTCTGATCACCATTCTCATAAGGTCTCTGTATTAACTTATTCCACCTAAAAGATAGCAAACATTTAAATAATCTAGTTCAGTTAAACTTATTAGCATGTATATATACAGTTAGTAATATATAAGACATACCATGCCCAATTGCACCATGGCTCAACATGCAAGAAACACAGAAGGCTGTAAAGATCTGGCAAATTATTCTGCAGCAATTAGTGAGGACATCATTAAGTAAGTCCTATGAAAGCCTCATCTTTTTAGGAAATATGATAAATGGGGACTTTGATGAGGAAACATACCTGAAGTGGAGTACCAGTGAGACACCACCTGCAATGTGCAGACAATGTGAATGCAGCCCTAGCACTCATAGTTCTCCAGGATTTTATGGTGTGTGCTTCATCCATTACAATTCGATGCCAATCAACTTCATGGAATATGCTACTCTCCACATCCTAAATGACAGTTCAAAACTGGCTAATGCGCATAGATCCAAATGAACAGAATAAATACACTTTCAAGCTCATGGGAAAAACATTGATACTGATCTGGAAAAGGCTGGATTACTTACAGTTTCCCCAGGCCCATAGCATCTGCTAAGATCTGCAGAAACCACCTTTCGCAGAGAAATTAATATATATATATATATATAACAACAAGAAAAACCAGGACATCAAGATATTAAATTGGAGTTGAAGAAAAAAAGAGTTAACAAATAAAATTCACTACCCCTCTTGCTGTTTCCAATGTAGAAGGAAATTCTGCAGTTGCTTCACCAGAGAAAATGTTCACATAAATTGCAGGACCCCTCCTGTTGAAAAGCTTGGTCAGCAAATTCCCAAATTAATAGAGCACTTGGGCAAATATTTTACAAATTTAGCTGGCACTCGATATATTCAGAAATTAGTTATTACAGATTACAGCTATATATCAAAAATGGCAAAACCATGAGAAACCTTACCTTTTTGCTCTGCCAGCCTTCCTTGCTGGATAACCAAAGCATGAGAAACCTTATTGTTCAGAAATTAGTTATTACAGATTGCAGCTATATATCAAAAATGGCAAAACCATGAGAAACCTTACCTTTTTGCTCTGCCAGCGTTCCTTGCTGGATAACCAAAGCATGAAGTGCAAGCTTCTTAAAAGCTCTTTCAATCACCTTTTCCTTCGATAGTATCTGCACATTGAATTATAATTTATGAATATTAATTTATGTCCATGCTGTGTTAAAAAATTAAAGATAAAACTGAATAAACCTCGGTGCAAAAACGGAACCCTTGAAATTCCTTCTTCTGATCAATCCTATGAGCACAATCCTGAGCTTGCAAATCAACCTGTGGATTCCTGCAATGTTGGTGAACACAATACCTCGATGGGGGTGTAATACTTGGCCAAACGAGTCTTTCCTTACCAGTTTTGAAGCACAATGAATCGAATCTGCCGATTTCAAGCCCAAACAAAACCATCAACCAATTTCCCAGAAAAATGATTCGAGAGAACACCGAAATGGCAATGCTTGAAATTACCATTTTGATAGAAACCACTGGACCCAAGAGACAAGACTGGGTTGATTCAGTCCAGCGTTCAGAGAAAAAAGAGAAGCTTTTCTGTTTTCCCCGCTGTCCGGAACAGTATATTATTTTGTAGCATTTATTTTCTTTTTTAAAAAAATTTACGACTACCAATTTTATTTTATTTTTTGAATGATAGAGAGAAACTATGTTACTACACGTGTTCTAGAAGCACTGCTCACACTTTTGCCAGCATGTTTTATCACTCCTTTGAAAGCAATCAAAATAGCCTCCCGAACTCCAACATCTGAAGCTTGCTGCCCATATCACCACAATATTGGATTTTGAAGGTTAAAACCAAAGAAAAAAAAAAACATAAGATGAAATATGTCACCTGTAAAGCAGATAAAAGATCACCAACCAAAGGATCAATCCTAATTGTGAGTGCACTTAGTTTACCAAGGGCAATAGCAGCACTTGATCGAACAGTCCTGCAAACAACTTACATAACATTAGCTAGGAATATACATACATCGTAGTACCGAACACAACAGAATAAACGAGTCTCAAAAAGAACAGAAAAACCATAAGTATTAAAAGCTACCCTTGTAATATCCTGCAAACACTTAACAAATGTTGTTTGAAGTTGGGGAAGAAAAGGCTTTAGGGCCAACCCACCCATCCATATTATGATGCTCAAAGTTGAGAGAATTGAACTTTTAACTTGCCATGGGAATCTGTCCCCTATTTATACGAATCAACGGAGTACACCAAATAACAATTCATGAACAAGTAATCTAGAATGGCGTTACACTGGTGACCCAAAGGTTCAAACAGGTAGAGGACTGTTTGATAGTTGACACACTAATAAAGGGAATAGTTCACTGCATACCATAAATAGGCAACGTAATGACCACGTATAGCTTATTTTGTTGGCTGCAATCCCTTTAATAGTCTCATAGTCAAAACTAGCAATGTGTAGAACTATAGTAACAGCTCATACCCTGTGATTGGAATGACAAACTCCTTTAATGCTTGCTCACTTGTAACTTCAATTAACTCTCCAAGGCCCAAATCGGCTTGCTTTCTTAATTCAGCAAATCCACTTGAAGACCCTACAGATAATAAAGGAAATTCACATAACCATGCAATCAAAGCTCAACAATGTTGCATTCTTAATACTTGTGGCCAAATGCTTGTAATAATGTGAAACAGATTCCAAAAACGACAACAGCAATAATAAAAACAATCTTTATGTATGATTAATAGATTATACTTAGTTTCTTACATATAATAATTCTAGGAAGGATTTCTCTGCGATAATTATTAAATATTAGAAAATTTGGTATACAAATGAAGAGATTCTTTCAATGTAAACATTAAGTTCACAAACAAAAGATAAGCAGGAATACCTGGAGGAAAATAGGAAGCACAGGTTGAAGAGCTTTCCAGAGGCAAAAACCAGGTATTAGAACTGGTCCTCCCGGCATGTTTCTATACATCACGAACCAACTTTATATATGAAGGAAGAACTTCTTCAGGAACTGAACTTATCACACTAGACAACGCTTCCCAAGCAACCTGTAAAAGAGCATGGTAAGATAAACTAGTACATTGAAGTGCATTGTATAAATGTCATGCAACGAATCAAAATAACCGTCACGGTAACTGAATCTGAATCACTTAGTAAAATAATCAGGGTGGATATCACATTTGGAGCCTCAACAACAAGATATAGATCACTGGTTTTGAATAAATATCCAATAAAGTATGCAGAACTTTGTCTGACTGACGCCTGGAAGAATAAAACTTAAATAGTGTTAGATAAAAAATGCAAAACAAAGAAAAGAAAGTCACATTATCATTATTCAAAACAATAAATCATGCCTGAATCACTTAGTAAAATAATCAGGGTGGATATCACATTTGGAGCCTCAACAACAAGATATAGATCACTGGTTTTTGAAAAAATATCCAATAAAGTATGCAGAACTTTGTCTGACTGAAGCCTGGAAGAATAAAACTTAAATAGTGTTAGCTAAAAAATGCAAAACAAAGAAAAGAAAGTCACATTATCATTATTCAAAACAATAAATCATGCCTGAATATCTCCAACTCCTTTGAGAAGCCCCGACAGCAAAGACTTGATACCTTCCTCGTCAATTACAGTGACAACAGTTTCTGCTGCTTTCTTGGCGAGACTTTGAACCTCCGTTATTTTCAAGGTGAAAGCATGACACATGCAAATTATGCAATGAAAAAAAAACACAAATCAACTTAAGCAATGACTCAAATTTAAATGATGTGAAAGACGAAACCAAGTAAATGGCATTATGGCATAAAAATTAGGTCCCTACCATATCAGTATAGCCCATTGCAGTGAGTAAAGCAGGAAGGATGGTACCAATGGGGGCATCAAGACCAGGTCCAGCAACCTCTGCTAAAGCTCCCAAAGCATGTGCATTGAAGGCACTGGATATAAAGCACTCTCTATCTAAAGTTCAGAAGCAAACTAAATCATGAATAGGGGGAGGAAATGACCCAGCAATCACAATGTCTTCTTCAATCCTATGACATGAACACTCAATCCATCTTCTTTACGCGTAAAATCGAAAGAAATTCTAGAGATTCAAAGTCTCAAACAGAAGCAGGCATAATCCTAAATGTTCAGAAAGATCAAAGGGGAGCAAATGAAAAAGGTGCATACTTTGGAATATGGATGAAGGTTGGCCATCATGGATCATCAATCTTTACTCCAACTTCTCCAATTCATTCAACCTCTCTATGAGCCTGCAGTTCCAGAAGAAATCAAACATCCATTTTTTCTGCAAAATCTATGCAAAGTACATTTCACCAGAACAAGGATAAGGCGCGAGAAAAATCCTTCTTCTTGCGATTAATCTCACCTTCTTACTTGTTTCTTGGAGCTCCCCAGCGAGAACGAATTCATCTAAAGATTAGATATACCTTCATAGGAAAACAATGCAGCATATAAATACACTAGAAGTAAAAGAAAATACAGAGATTCACAATGAGAAAGACTGACAAACCATACCTTGTGAAAGTTAAAAACCAAATCTAACTCGCAGACATTACTAAAGAAGTGATCCAGTATCTCCACAAACAAGTGGATGCACTCCAAATAAGCCAACTCGTTGTCCGTCATATCAACATACAGCGAGAAAAATAGCCCAGCATACTGCCAGTAGATAAGTAGATTATCTTGTGTGCTCGGAACTGACAAGGAAAACATCAACTACACGCCATTACAATCCCGCAGAACCAAAGAATTCACTCTCATACTCTGTAAAAGTGTCTTCAAAACGACACCCTCGGGGATTAACAGTATGTTTTATCTCATCTCCTTCTTGGATTAGTTAGTAGAACTGTGAAGAGAACTAGCAGGTGAGAAACAATTAACTATTTCCTTCACATTCCGCTCTTCACCACAATCAACAGAGTCAGTATTCAATCAGAGCATCTTTGGCAGTACAGTTTAAGGAATCAATGGCCTCTTCTTAACTTTGAAAGGAATAGAACACACAGCACAGATCTTATCATTGCATGAAAAGTTTTACATGAGGAAATAGAACGATTTGTGAAAAAAAAAAAAAGTTCTAACACCCTCAGCTCCACAAAGTTGGTGAATTTGGGGTCTCTATTCATGACCAACCGATGAACCTCCAGAACCAGATCAAATGTTAAAACTCAGCATTAATGACACAAATGTATCGAGATATCATAGAAAGAACATGTTTTCGACTTTGTGCTTCTCGGATTCCTCGAGGGGGGTGTAATACTTGGCCAAACGAGTCTATCCTTGCCAGTTTTTAAGCAGAATGAATCAAATCTGCCCATTTCAAGCCCAAACCAAACCATCAACCAATTCGCCAGAGAAATGAATCGAGAGAACACCCAAATGGCAATGCTTGAAATTACCATTTTGATAGAACCACTGGATCCAAGAGACAAGACTGGGTTGATTCAGTCTGGCATTTAGCGAAAAAGAGAAGCTTTTCTGTTTTGCCCGCCGTCTGGAACAGTATATTATTTTGAAGTATTTCCTTTCTTCTTTAAAAAAAAAAAAAAAAAATACAACCACCTAGTATTTTTATTTTTAATGAGAGAAACTATGTTGCTAGACGTGTTCTAGAAGCACTGCTCACACTTTTGCCAGCATGTTTAATCACTCCTTTCAAAGCAGTCAAAATAGCATCACGAATTCCAACATCTGAATACTGCTGCCCATATCACCACAATATTAGATTTTGAAGGTTAAAACCAAAGAAAAGAGAAGGAAAAAAAAAACATAAGATGAAGTATGCCACCTGTAAAGCAGATAAAAGATCACCAACACGGCAACACCAAAGGATCAATCCTAGTTGTGGGTGCACTTAGTTTACCAAGGGCAAGACAGCACTTGATCGAACAGTCCTGCAAACAACTTGCATAGCATGAGCTAGGAATATACATTGTAGTACCGAACCTAACAAAATAAACAAGTCTAAAAAAGAACCGAAAAACCATAAGAATTAAAAGCTAACCTTGTATTATCCTGCAAACACTTATCAAATGTTGTTTGAAGCTGGGGAAGAAAAGGCTTTAGGGCCAACCCACCCTTACGTATTATGATGCTCAAAGTTGAGAGAATTGCACTTTTAACTTGCCATGGGAACCTGTCCCCTATCATACGGATCAACGGCCTACACCAAATAACAATTCATGAACAAGCAATCTAGAATGGCCTTACACTGGTGAGCCAAAAGTTCAGACAATTAGAGGACTGTTTTATAGTTGATGCACTAATAAAGGGCATAGTTCACTGCATACCATAAATAGGCAACGTAATGTGTATAGCTTATTTTGTTGGTTGCAATCCTTTTAATAGCCTCTGGTCAAAACTAGCAATGTGTAGAACTATAGTAACAGCTCATACGGTCATACCGTGTAATTGGAATGAAAAACTCATTTAATGCTTGCTCACTTGGCACTTCAATTAACCCTCCACGTCCCAAAGCTGCTTTCTCTCTTAATTCAGCAGATCCAATTATAAGACCATGCAGATAATAAAGGAAATTCACATAACCATGCAATCAAAGCTCAACAATCTTGCATTCTTAATACTTGTTACCAATGCTTGTAATAATGCGAAACAGATTCCAAAAACGACAACACCAATAATAAAAACAATCTTTATGTATAATTAATAGATTATACTTAGTTCCTTACATATAATAATTCTTGGAAGAATTTCTCTGCTATAATTATTAAATATTAGAAAATTTGGTATACAAATGAAGAGATTCTTTTTAGGGCAAAAAATAAATGAAGTAAATGAAGTAAGCCTACAAAAGAATATTGACACCTATTATAAACTTAAATGAATCAACCAGATTTCTCATAGTATTTCAAAGAGAGAGAGAGAGAGAGAAAGAGAGAGAGAGAGCGCGATAAGCATAAAGAACAAGCTTAAAGCATGTAATTATAATACATAGCCCGTTCAACAGGAAGGAGCACATTAGGATGCCAACTCCATAGCAAACATGTAAACCTTGTGTATAACAACAAAATAAAAGATTACCAGTGTTCGTGATATTAGGATAGTCATAACAACAGGAAGATCTTTGGTTCCAAGCACATCAGCCACAGAATGTAAAGCCAATGCTATCCCTTGTCTGCCGATCCAACCAGCACCAATATTGTCCTCACAAAAACCAGCATCACGGATATACAATCATTTTTAAACTAAATAGCACACTTGAAAATTATTTTTAAACTAAAGAGCACAATTGAAAATTATTTTTAAACTAGAGCACATTTGAAAATGATTTTTAAACTAAAGAGTACACTTGAAAATCATTTTTAAACTAAAGAGCACACTTGAAAATCCTTTTTAAACTAAAGAGCACACTTGAAATCATATACCTATTAATAGTACTTGAACCAAATAAAAGGAAACCTGCTGTGGTTTTAGTTTTTCAGCAAAGGACAAGGTCAAAACATTTTATCACACAGTATAGCAAAAACTAATTAACCCAAAAGGATGAAATAGGCAGGCATACCTTTGACAGAATCAACAAAGAAAACAGAAGGATCCGCCTCATCAATGGCTGATTGCAACTCTTCATCATCACAAAAATCATCATCAGATGAGTCATCCTCGTCATCATTAGAGCGGAAAGCACTCGCCTGAAAACCACAAAGTTTAAGCATATAGAGATGGATGTTAATTTCACAAAGGAAATGAACAGAAAACAAGCAGGAACAAGATGCTTAGATGGGTATGATACAATTTGTCTCTTAATTCTGTTATCTTTGCTGCCAACTTTTGGAGCCTTAGGCTGTCAGCTTCATCTCCATCCTCGTCATCATCTGCCATTTCTCTATCAGACTCATCGTCATCATCATCACTTCGAAATCCATCCATCTCAACCTCATCTTCAGCTTCCTCTGCCTTTGCAGCTTCTGAAGATATAGAAGGTAGAAAATGATATCAAACATTAAGAGAATAATCAGAATATACCATCTAAAGTGCAAATGAAACAAATAGAAAAACCAGTATGGGAAAAACATAGAATAAAAAAAATAAAATGGTTACTTACCAGCAAGTTGCTCCTTGTGCATACAAGGAGGTCAAGAATGGCCTTAAAAAAATGCCATCAAAGGCAGCTGCTGGCATTTGATCAGCAGGAAGACTGAGCAATGATGTCAAGCCCAAGCAGCAAACCTTCTTCTCATACTCCCTGCAATACCAACATGGCAAGAATTAGAAACCATCACTTCTCGTAGCTTTGTTTTTCTTATGCCTTTTACATCTCTCCACAAGAACTACAAGACCAACATATTGCTACCTTTTAGAATTAGCCCGAGCTCCACTTTTTTTAGTTTGTTGTATAGCATATGGAACAAAGATTGAAGATCTCTGTAGCAACACCAAGCTTTTGCAGTATGCTCGGCGTAAATGAAGGGTTATAGTAAAGAGCATCAACAATCTGTCAATAAGAAACAAATTTAGAGGTAATTTCACAGGAAAAGAAGGCCACAAACACAGAGTATTTTTTTTTTATTTGAATGATAGAGAAAAACTATGTAACTACAAGTGTTCTAGAAGCACTGCTCACACTTTTGGCAGCATGTTTGATCACTCCTTTCAAAGCGGTCAAAATAGCTTCACCAATTCCAACATCTGAAGCCTGCTGCGATATCACCACAATATTAGATTTTGAAAGTTAAAACCAAAGAAAAGAAACAAAAAAAGAAACATAAGATGAAGTACCGTCACCTGCAAAGCAGATAAAAGATCACCAACCAAAGGATCAATCCTAGTTGCGAGTGCACTTAGTTTACCAAGGGCAAGAGCTAGATCGAACAGTCCTGCAAACAACTTGCATAGCATGAGACAGGAATATACATCGTAGTACCGAACCAAACATAATAGACGAGTCTCAAGATGAACCGAAAAACCATAAATATTAGAATCTAACCTCAACCTTGTATTATCCTGCAAACACTTAACAAATGTTCACACTCGTAGGACTATATTTTCAATAACAGACAATGATTGTATACAGTAAACATCTAAGATTACTACCATTATTACCATGATCCTACCACAAAGAAGTTCAGATTCATTAAACTAAAAGCATTATTGACAGAAGGTGATTTACCTGTCAACCTCCCACATAGCCTTCACTTCAACATGATCAGTTATATAAAGAATATTATATTCAAATATAATGTAAAC